GTCTTCTGGAGAATATTATTAACTCCAAAAGAAAATCCCCGACTCCAAGAGCTGGATCGGATATTTCATTTGATAGCGTATCAACCCTGCATGATCCATAGGACATTGCCATTTCTTGGGGGAACTACTTTGATGCCTTGTGGCAGTAGGTGATTCATCCTTTGATTCTGAACACAAATGGTCTGTTGAAAAGGTAAAACGTTTGCAGTGAGCGAGTTGGGTTTCACGCCGCTTTTGACAGTATTCCAGTTATGTCACGGCGCGTCAGTTTAATGTAAGAGGAATTCCGAGGTGATGCGGGTCTTAGACATTTACCGCTTTGGTGAAATGGTACTGACAAACCTAGAAGCATAATCGGGGCAAACCGTAGCTACGGCACTGGATAGTGGACACATTTGATGGGGATACAGATGCTATGCTTGGTAACATGGATCCTGAGGATCTGACTGTGTACTTTCTCCATGGTCACCCGTAGGACATTGACCACTAGTCACTCTATGTGACTGTCGGATACTTTCTTCTTTCCATATAAACGTAACTATTAAAAGTTATATTTTAAATAATTGTATTGTTAATTTTCTGTGGTGCTTTGTATTCTTATATCTCTTAATCTGTTGAAGAATATAAAACTCTCACTCGCTCATCTCTAAAGAGTACTGCTATTTAAACGGAACACACATTTCATGATTATTGTACTTGACAACTATATGACTGCGCATGGTGCAATATGAAGGATTATATTAAGCCTGTTGCCATTATAGTTGAGCGTATCATTTCTTAGTCGCTGGTGCAGGAAAGTAGTATCAAATCACTGATCTATTACGATTACTTCCGTCACATACAGATACAACTCTGCACTCGAAATATTGGCTAACATATTATCCTTCACAACGAATATATAATCATAAACGAAAAGATGACATAAACGAATACTGTGGACACTGTTGACATGGCACTCTGCTATTTTCCAGCTATATGAAGGTGTCCTATTAATAATCGAGTCTGGACCAGACAGTCCAGTGATTGATATCATGAGCATCGATCTACGTAGTTGGGATACAATGACATGCATCAACCAAATCAAGGAGGCTGACTATCTGATCCCATTAGTTGCCTCTTGCAGGGGTTGCTGACCATCTATTCTGACCCGGATCTTCACGGGCGACCCGTGTCTCCAGGAGAGAGCATATTGGAGTTTATGCTCAGATTATCAAACCTTGTAAAAACAACAAAAACTCAGATTAAATAAACTTGTTTTCTTTTCCAAGAGAACCCTGACGATCCCATTGTGATCCCTCTAAACATGAACAAAATAAGGGAATACATTCAGATATACTTTTCTGGTTATTGTGTAAATATAGCAGGTATACATTTTGATTCTTTATCATGAACGGAAACACTGACTACACGTAACAGGACATGAGATCTTCTTACATACCATTCATAACATGAAATACACACTGAATCTGATTAATACATTGTCTGGTTACTCTACCTGTTCCATCTCTGATGACAATATAGTTACCGTATCCACCCTAGTTAGGGCCCCGTTCCACAAAGCGATCTTAGGGCTAAGTTGATTGTAACTCACTAAGTATGCGATCTTAAATTTTTGTTACGATCAGCCGCCCGTTCCACAAAGCAATCTTAACTAAGAGAGTTGTAAGTTAAGATCAAAATGCTAAGTTGCCCCGGACCAACTTAGGATTGCTAAAATCGATCTTAAATATTGTACCATAACAACAAAGATGGCGACTTTTATTATGGTGTGCAAGGAAATGCGTCGTCTGCTAAACATGACCAAGGGAAAATTTCGTATCTTTATGGCTGAAGATTCCGATCTTTGTTAAGATCGGCTACTTAAGAACTTGTAAAGTTACAATCACCCTAAGATCGCTTTGTGGAACGGTTGTAAACTTTAGCTAAGACAATGAACATGTTGTTTATGCCTAGGTCACACTGATTGGAGGCATTTGTGAACCTGGAAAAATGGACGACTATTAAAACAATGTGCGGGATTGAAGGTGATGGGAAAAGCTACACAAGACCTCTTGAATGCAACCAGTTGTTTAAGCCATGCACATGCAATACATGACAAGTACGTCAGCATCAATTGCTTCATTCCAGATGCAAATGAACTGCACTCTTGGAAGTACTAATGTTTTTTAAATATATTTATCTCGTATTATCCGCTGACCCGTCAATAATGTGGCTGAGTAAATATAGTACTGAGTATATTATATAAGTGATTCTGTCTTCTGTAAAAACAACTATGTATTAACACACACACCATAATGTAACGTTTTGTCTTAACAGGGGACACTTTTATACAAACATGACTTAAATTATGAGTTGGTTGGGGGTGGGGTGATTATCAGAGCAGGGTACAAATATTTTGAGTATTTTCAGAAGGTATCCTCTAGTGTTAAATTTACGGAAGACTCAACACTCTCATGTAATATGTGATTACATAACATAATAGCTGTTCGTAAAGATGTGAACAACAGTCAAAAAGGAATATGAACACAATGTTATTTAGAAAGTGGTCAAATGTACCAAATGTTACATTTGGGACAACACTTTCTCAGTAAAGTACAGGTTCTCGTACTTTTGGGGGTTGAGTCCGATCCAGGATACGAACCCACACTGCCAGAGTGAGGCACCAAATCACCAGCGATCTAACCCACCCAGCCACCGAGACTTCTACAATAATGAAAGTCCGACAACTGGTAGTCATATCTTCAACTGACATAAACCAGAGTACCAGAGATACAGACCTTCACCTTACATGGGGGAGTTAACATCTGAGAGAGAGTTTTACCCCAAGCAAAATAATGGATGCAAATAATTCCCATTGCAATTCCAGGAGTACCCATAAACGTACACCTTAATCCGAATGGTAGAATGCATGTTACAACACAAACTTCTATTCCGATAGCCTCACAAAGTGAGTGGGTAAGTGAGTTGGGTTTAACGTCACTTTTAACAGTATTCCAGTTATATCACGCCCAAAGTGCAGTCGTAAGACTGTGCTAAAGTATGTGAGTGACGTCATCTTCCGGGAGGCCCGTCGCCCTTGGTGCTGAATATCACTCTCCAGAGTTCAATTTAGAGGTATTTTAACATTATATTTGGATATTGCAATAACATAAAACAAAGGCTTAAGCACTAAGTACTCTTCCTTCTTATTGGTCCTCAGTAAAACATGAAATTCAATCAGTCAGGCTGAGGAATCAAATTATATAAGGTAATCAGTGACACAAAGACATCAAATTAGTGTGTATATATAACTATAACTATAACACTTATTTGATGTATATATGTATTAACATGAATTGGAAATTAATCATTCCAATTTGGGAATTTTTATAATATTTTCTGCAGACTTGGGGCCGAATATCAGCCTTGGACCAAGTTTCAAAATTCAGACAGAGCGAATTTCGGCGCCTTAGACGACTGGGCCACCCGTGCCCCTACACGCCAAAGGCTTGTGAGTGTAGGCAATGACATCGATAAAACTCTTGTAGATCACGTGAAGCATGGCCCATGTCACCAGCCTTGGACTACATTATGTATTATTGAGATTACACAGGACACGAAAGTAGATAGATGATAAGATCTAGCTAAATCCCTGATGAACCAATGTACTTTAAAAAATATATTTGAACATATTAGATTTATCTACACACAAATCTAAACATTTATATTAAAAACATAAATTTCACAAGTCAACAACATGCTGACATTATATGAGTGCTTCCTACAATATTTGACACATTTCACGTTCATGATTTCAGAATGTTCAGTCTTAATAAAAAGTCCTATGGAAATTTCAAATCAGCGTGTCATTGTTCATCTTCCAGAGGCAAGGGAGTCAACTGTCTATAAAAGTCCAGTTTCCACTTTTAAAGTCAGTTAACTCACTTTCCCCAGGAAGATGGTCTTTGTTGTAAAGGCAATATTTATAACTAAACATAGCTATGTTGTTTTAAAAAAGAAAACAACTATATCATTGCAGCCAAGGACACAACACGAATGAGCAAGTCAAAATTTTACATCGCATCAGCAATATTGCAGCAATACCGGACACAACGCTAGATGTCAAAACATGAGTGAGTGAGGTAAACATCATCTAAAGAGTATTGAAAATGTCACAATTTTAATTTTTATTTGGAGATGGAACGTTTCAAAATTTTATAAAAAAAAGAAGTTACATACGATGGCAGGGTAAGCAAAATATGATACAGTCCTCAGGCCAATCACACCGCCCTCCTCCCCTAAATTGGTTTACCAGTCCCAGATGGTGAAATATTGCACGAAGTTTATAAACATTACAAATTTACCCATCAGACAGTTTTCACATCCTATGGGTTTTCAGATCTAAGGGCTCAGTCACGCATTCAGGGTTTTTACGGCCGTCCTTGATAGGACCATTTCCGATTAAATTAGTCAAAAGTCTGATCCAGATCCTGTGATTCCTGGCGGGAAATTCACAAACAATCCGATATTGTTCAGGAAGTGTCCCGATTCAGCCGTTTCCAGTCGAATTCGTCTCAATTTACCCATTCTTAATCCGAATCTGATCCGATTTTTATCTTCCGCATGGTAAAAAAACGACCGAATCTGTCCCGACAGCGTCCCGATTCTCCTGAAAGCGATCTGCCAGAGATCAGATAGTGACCGGAGAGTGAACCGACAAAGACGGTTCGCATTCGGCAAAATCTGGACGCAGTCTGGACTCAATCGACAAGAAACGGCAATGAACAATACATGCCTGTTCATCACGACAGCGTCCCGATCCACAGGACACCGTCCAGGCAACACAGGACATTGTTACGATTTTGATCCCATACAGCAGAATCTGTCACGACATTCACGATTGTAATCCGACTAGACAAAATCGGCTGAGTTTCCCGAATGTTACGGGGCGCACCATACTGTCGGGAGTGCTTGGCCGACCTCTCTGGACCTTTCCTGATCTGTAGGACTCTGTTACGAACGTATACGACTGTGTTTAGACAATGATAGGACATTCCAGATCATTGAGGATAGTTCACTGTTCGTGTCGTAGCGCTGTCTGATCTCAAAAGGGAGCCATAATTGGCACTGTGTGAACCTGGCCTAACTCCAGTCTCCAGTAGAAACTATTATAAATTGTAGCAGGATCCCGTAGGTTGTATACCACAAGCTGAGGGACAAAAAAAACCCCATGTACCCCTCGTGATCCTGCTACAACGAATTTATCTTACCGACATGTTTTAATGTGACACTGCAAAGGAATCAGAAAGGAATAGAAAACAGCTGTTCCATTGAGCTGAGGTAAACTTGTGCTGTCACGTGACTTCCACATGCGGCTTTTCACTTTGAAGCGGGGTATAAGGGATTTATTCTGCCTGTCAGAAATCCACGTGCAGCCTGTATTGCTCGTGGCGGGGTATAAGGGATATATTCTACCCCTGAGAAATTTATTACCCTTCAAGGTGATGTACAAAGTATTTTATCTAGGTCACATGGACCAATCAGATCTCATCATTCTGACATGGAGGTATGATAAGTTGCATTATTGTACAACAGACAGACAACTGCACAGCTGAACAAAATATGATGTCATCATGAGAAGAAGCATTCAGGCCATCATTCAGCTTCCTCAGTCCTAGATAATGAACGAGACCATGACGGATGCTGCACAAACAGGCCACAACATAAGCTGACTCCACATTCAGACAGGTGAGGTACCTACAAATGGTAATGGAGGGAGACAGGATTGCCGACCTGAAGAAGTTCTCTGCAGTTTGGGGTTTTATCAGCATATATACTTGGTGAACAGTTCTTGGTTACAAACAACCCATTCATGATATATCTCGAAATCTGATTATCAAAACGCCTTCATCATGTGATACACATTGTGCATTTTCAGTTGCATTAATAATGGGGAATTTCACCTTGATCAGATGGCATTAGTTAGAATTTGGAAAACTATTCTTGGCCATGAATAGTTCAGAAGAATGTGGGTGTCAAATCCTATTTTTAACCATTTTTTCATCCCAAAACATCCATTTTTAAAACACTGTATTATGTGTGGCAATAAAAATCACACACATTCCTAAGGAAAGACAGATGTACTGAGAAATGCACTGGAGAAACCACTGGCTCTCATTTACCTTAAATATTTGGATTTTTCAGTCTGACTGATTTAATTTCATGTTTTGAAAACAGGATCAATTAGGAAAAAGAGTTTTTAGTTCTTTGTTTGATATTATTGCACTGAATGCAATCTCCAAATATATAGTTAAAATACCCATTAATTGAAGAAAGTAAGAACTTTAAAGAAATCCCTATTTAGAACAAAATTTAAAATCCCAATGTTTCTGTCAGGGGCAGTTGGTGCAGAATTGCTGATACATCCCTAGTGGTGTCAGGACTGTATCAAACCATCACAAGTCTACACCTGATCAGGGCCCCTGCTCGACAAAGTGACTGTATAGCGCTACGACTGTCTGTTGTAAGGCTGCGTTAAAGTATGTGAGATATGATCATTTTCCGGGGGGGCCCCAGTCGCCGCAAATCAGTCTACAGAGGTATTTTAACATTATATATGGAGATTGCAATAATATAAAACAGAGCACTAAGTACTCTTCCTTGTTATTGGTCTTCAGTAAAACATGAAATTCGGTCAGTCAGGTTGAAGGATCAACGTAAATAACATAATCAGTGACGTACAGGCTGCCTCCACAGAGACCTCAAATTAAATTAAAATTATATTTACATTAACTTTCTAATTCCAATTTGGGAATTTTTATAATATTTGTTGCAGACTTGGGGCGATTATTGGCCTTGGAAGGGGTCTAGATGGGCCCCTGCACCCCTATCATCAGTGGAAATATACACAAGGACATTGAGCAGAGGCACTTTGACTGCACATCACCCTTGTCAGTGTAATTGATATAAATTCATACAAACTGAGTAGTTCATTCAATGAAATGAGATTTTCAGCATAAAAGCCTAGAAATGACACCTCAGTGAAACGAGAAAGTGGAAGGATTTCTAGTATTTGCGCCTGTAAGTTATGAAGATTCTTGGGCCATCCTGTACTCGTGGACACTGCCCTTGAGGACGGCCTTCTGACTGGGAGGGCCTTGTGTTGTTGTGGTCCCCTCCGTCCGGGATCCATCACTTGCAGAGTCAGTACCAGGTGTGCCATAGCCTCCTCCTCCTGGTGTCTCCAGGTGAAACACGTCCTGCAAATAGGACACGTTTTTGTTGCAACATTGATATAATTTGGATATAAGTCTAGAGTGATTTAGTGAGGGTGATTGAATGTGAGTGAGTGAGTGAGTGAGTGAGTGAGTGAGTGAGTGAGTGAGTGAGTGAGTGAGCGAAATATATTTGTGTGACAATATGAAATATGCCTTACGACCGCTCATTATGCCGACATCACATAAAACACAATGATGTCATGATGTCTGCACATGCCATCCGATCGACTTGTACAGGTTTTTACAAGACAAGATTTTATTACGATAAGTGATAATGAGTGAGTTTATGATGGACACACTTCCGCTGTCTAACGGTGACCTGGATGTGGTTCAAGACTGGACCAGGCATACTGGTGGTTCATAGCAAAACAAGGATCCACTCTACTGGCCTGTTGCCAAGTATATTGACCCTTACCACTCCTGATCACCCTACAAGCCTCCCACATCATCAATACGGGTTTGTATACACCAAATGCCTCCATCCCATGTGAATACATACAACCATTATGAGGTGCATCTTCCTGAGGCAAGGGAATTAACTGACTGTTAAATTCCAGTTCCACCCTTGACGAACCATGCTGGAATTTCTGGGCTCGATCATAGCGCCAGTGGCAATAATGAGTTTTGTCCCTTTCATGTCCCTCCTATATCTCTTATATCACTTGCATTTGCCTCAAATAAAATGTTGTCGCACAGTGAAGATGATCTGATCAATAATCAAGATGTATTTTGTGATAAAATGGGTCTTACTTCACACAGTACATCAAATCACGTGAGTACCTTGATTGAAAACATGAAAAGATTTGGAAAGTATCTGTTGACCCAAAGTCGACGGTGCACATGTTTTGCAAATCCTGCAGTTTACGAACCGTAAACTGTTCGCCAAGGGTGGAAACTGAACTTTTATAGTTAACTCCCTTGCCTCAGGAAGATGTTTGAGGTATAGTTATGAGACAACAATGCAACAAAGGCCATACTGGTGGCTGCTTGCTCTTCACATAGCTTTGGTAGGGTTGACATGAAATAGAGCTCATTTGAATTCTATGACTATAAATGGCCTCATTTCATTAGCTTGCTACAATTTGACACACATCACTACTACACTGCACAGCAGTCCTATGTGTTCACGGATGATGGAGGGAGGTAGTGTATACAGATCCATGAAGTATTCAGCATGCGCCTCCCAGGGTGCTAGAAGTAACCCTGACAGTAACATGACACTCACCCCAGGGCCGACATTGGCAGAGTTCTTGCCTCCTAGGCTTACCACCCGACCATCAGCATAGAACAGCAGGTTCAAACCAGTTCTTCCATCATCCCCACCTGCAGGAAACACATTTGGATTCATCTTCCTGATTTTCACTCATTCATTAAAAACTTGATAATGGAGTGAACAAAGTGGGAAAGGCATAAGGGTTATGACAGCATCGAGGCTTCTGAATACTCAGTACGCGTGAACAAAGCATTTAAAGAAGCATATTATATTTTGAAAACACACATAAACAGACAATTCCAAATGAAAATAAGAAAAGTCATGCTGTATATGTTGTGGATATTTTACACTCTCATTTCTGAGTGCCATGGCACTTAAAGGAACATTTGTCCTCTGTGTGGGGTTTCTTATTTTAGCGAGACTGAAATTTCTAAATCAAGGGGTTAAAACAAATAAAGAAATGCTCCAGAAAGGTTCCATCTTATTGGCTAACAAACCAAAACATTTTGATTGGGCGTTCAAAAGTTGCTAAAGGCTCGCCTGTTTTGACCTCCTGGAGGTATTGTATGACAGTAATAGATCATTTTTGAACGAATTTACGATGCTATCATCAATATTCCAGCAACATTGTGTAGAAAATCAGGAACTGTGATTGAGTGCTTTAACCACCAGGCGGACTAACTGACCCTGAAATTAGTTTAAAATATTACAAAAGTAAACTGACCACACAAGCCGTAAGGCCTGAACACCCTCCTCTCAGTCAACACAGAAAGTGTCAAGTCCTTGCGGAACAGGAATTCTCGCACCACCCCATCCCCTCCCGTGTGGCGCCCCCTACCGCCCGTGCCACGGTTCAGATGGAAGCAGCGGACAACGATGGGGTATCTGGAAGAAAACAAACACACATTTATCACGTTCACATTGTTATTTACTGATGGAACAATATATTTTAAGTAAATGAAGATAGCACCTCATTAAATCAGACAGCACGTCACAAAACAAAGATCTGTGGACATCCGATTACGGGTCATATCACGTCTTCTTAAGAACTTGATGAAAAGTTGACATTAGCCAATCAGAAAGCAGCTTTCTCCAGCATTACAGCACTAGTTTCAAACTGGTGACTTCCATTCCAGACTATGCTTTGAAAAATATTTCTAAAAAATCTTTCAAACTTAAAAACTGATCAAAAGAACATTCTGGAAATTGTAATAGATGGCTGAGATTGTATGGCAGTATTTATCACGGGCTATGTGAAATATTTTTCTTTTAAATGTTTATACCATATTGAGGCAAGAGATTTTGACAGAGTGTCATTCTGAATACTCTGCATTAACCTTTTCGAGGCTGCATGATTAGAAAACAAACTCCAACTGTCACTTCCTGATCAGATAAGTGATGCTCTGATGACCGGCAACGGGATGTCCTCTGATCTTTGCTTAGCGGTAGTGAGAACTAAGATCTGATCTAAGGAGACCATGGTGTCAGTGCCATTACACAACACTCACTCACTCACTGATGGTCTGCACCCCACTCATAACATAAAACATATTCACCATTAGCCATGAGACCAAAGTCTGAATTCAGTAAATGCCTCTTGCACTTGTAAGCTAAGCCTTTGCTATAGCTCAAATGGATAGAATTACAACACGCCCCACAAATTATCAAGCAAAATGTCACTGTAATATGATAATGCCCTCATTTTCCTTAATCACTGGCCATTATGAATCAGGTGTCCATATGACGTCGTAGCTGCATACCATTACTGCCTATAATACATTGGTTGTTTTTGTTGGGTTGTTTAACCTTTAGCCTGCTGAATTATTTTCACACTTCTTACCCCTGCCTGCTGGATTAATTTTAGCATAAGGCGCTCTAAAGAGGGTGGGTGATTTCAAACAGTCGGTGCCTCATTAAACAAGGGCCAATTGAAGAAATATTTTGCACATTTATTCCTGATAGAAAACTACACAATTCTATATAAAAATATCCTGATGTTTTCAATCATACCAAGGTTAAGATCTAAGCGAACACAAAATTTGTAAATTTTCTTGAACTTACCTGAATTGCGTTATTGATGGTGGTTTGCATTTCATGCTAGGAACCTTTTAATATCGTAACATTTGTGCAAATTGATTTCAATAATCATATCTCCGATATCTTAATTTTAATTCAGTAAAAATTCAGGTTTTATAATCAGCATATATCAGCGCGATGGTAAATTATGAACCATTTCAGTGAATTTATTATCTAAACGTTAAACAGAAAAATAACTTAATTTTCGAGGTCATCATGTCGGTTGGAGAAATATGAATATTCGGGTTAATCTGACGTGTCATGTTATAAAATTTGCAGGAAACAATTAATGACTTATAAATATTCACTTATCCTAATTTCAAGCGTTTTGGTTGAATATTTACGATATACAAAAATAAACAACCCGTGTCATGATGCTAGCAGACGTCCTAAAATCAAACATGGCGCGCTTCGCCTGACCTCCGCATAACTTATTGCTATTTTAATATCAACAAAGTTTACATTGCCTTTATAAATCAGATGCACGGGGATGGACACCTCTGTCGAATGGGTTCGACGTTAGCGTGCAGAGCTTTAAAAGATATTGTCACATTGAGGACAAATTTCTATCCATTTAGCAATAAAAACAGTAATGCTATTTGTTGGGGCATTATAATTTGCAGAAGCCCCTGGTCTGACAGTACTTTGGAAAATAAGGCCTTGAAAATCCCATCAGACATATGAATGTTAGGAAAGCATCTCTACTGTGGAACAGACTAATACTTGGTGGATGGACATGAAGGAACACACATTTTGAAACTAAGTTTCTTTTTTAAAATCCTTCTCTTGAGACTGTTTTATGTCTGTTTCAGTTCACTCTGTCAGCTGCAATATGTAAACATTAAATGTAAAAGGTTAGTAAAATGTCGCTCCCCTGTATTTTGGATATAACTAATTTCAAGCAATCCTTTTCTTGTTGTATATACCTAAAATCCATCCACCAACATTTCGTTCACATCCCTGAATGTTTAGAGAAGGTACAAAACCCTGAATTCTCCAGCTTACCTCCTCTCTACAATTTCTGGGTCTGTGATTCGGGTGTTTGTCATATGGCTGTGAATACCGCTGTGACCATCCCATGTCGGGCCCTGAATAGAAGATGAGAAATGATGATGACGATGATGATGATGATGATGATGATGATGATGATGATAAAGAAGAAGATGATGATGGCGTATCAGCTTGATGCGGGAGAAAGGCTGGAAGTGATGCAGGCCTTAGATGATTACTTTGATGAAACCCATGAGCATTGGTATGGTGCTGACAAACCTAGAAACATAATCGGGGTGAACTGTGATTCGAACCCACAATCATAGGTTTCTGGAGTGCCCAAGGGATACAACTCTGCACGGTGAATTGTGGTGTCCCCGACGAAGGTGATGACAATGGTTCCTGGTTCCTGGTAAGATCAAAGGTCCAAAGCAACCTATGCTGGTCGTAAGAGAGGACGAAATGGATCTGGAGGTCAGGCATTGAGACATGGTTGTTTGTATGTCATCCTATATCAATTGCATGGATTAATGCTCAGGATATCAATCACTGGATTGTCAGGACCATATTCGACTCTTTACAGACTGCCATCATGTTGCTGGAATATTGGTGAGTGCATTGTTATCAAACAAATAAAGTATTATCAGATTTTTTAAATAGGACTTCAGCAAAGGTTTAATTTCCTTTCATTCTATACATGTTTCAGCTTGAACACTGCTGGCCAGGTTGTTACTCCTTTTCCTTGTGGGTAAGGGGAAAAAGAACATGCAAGACCAAAACTATATAATGGTCTTCACTGAAGTAACATAAATAGAGGACTTACCGCCCCCGCTCCCCCTGCTACGGTCTCGTAGTAGCCGACGTTGGAGTCTCCGAATGTAATGTTGTTCATGCAGCCCTGGAACAAAGACAGGTTGTCATCGTTGCACGAAAGACAGCATCTTAATCAAATGTACAATTCTTGTAAACACATGTCTCAAAACCTTCATTTGTCCGGAAAAAAAACTGAGGTCATTATAACAGTGCAGTTTTCAACATCTCCTTCACTGTCTGGCCAAAGCAGAATCACCAAATTAAAACGTTCTAGCATATTTGCAAGGCTGAAAGAGATCATAGCATTGTCATTCTTAAAGAATGAAACGTGAAAGAATCTATCTAATTTACAAATTTGGCAGGACTAACTAATTGAACCCCATGTGCGCCCTTCAGAGGTCCACAAGGTTAGATGGCTTTCAATGACCAAAGCAATCGACAACTGTGCGAAATCATTGCCGGCACTTATTGCAATGTTAGAAGCCAATAGGGACACGGACATCATGGCAGACTCCCTACTACGACAGTTGACGACATACAAGTTTAGATTCATGACCGCGTTTTTTCAGGACCTATTTGGTATGATAGGCATAGTTAGTAAGACACTACAGACTCGTGACTTGAACTAGGGGGACATGAAGAACACAATTGTTGCTTTCTTGGATGGACTTAAAGGACAGTACTTGACAAACCAACATACAGACCTAAATTACGAGCATTCTTGACCGAAACCGAAATACAGATGAATTTGAAAATGTGACAATGATGAGATCGCATCGCGACAAGACACTGACTGATAGAGCTAGGCAATGTGCAAGAATACTGTTTGACAATGTGACTGACAAGTTTCCAGACAATGAATTGTATTCTGCGTTTGGAACCTTTGACCCGACAAATTTCCCTGACAAAGCTTTTGACCTTTCGACGTATGGGGATGAGAGTATTTCTAGGTTAGGTATCCATTATGGCAGCAGACGACAAGGACATACCCCCATCGACAAAGACCAATTAGAATGAGAATGGGGAATATTTCGGCCTTTAATCTTCAACAATTACAGAAGGTTGACATATGGACAGCTACTGAGTAAAGTGCATGCTTCCAAATTGACCAGTAACTTCCCAAATATTGTTAAACTCATGGAGATCGGTCGTGTTTTGCCCGTGTCCAGTGTAGAATGTGAGAGGGGTTTTTCGAAACAAAACCTCATTAAGACGCGACTGAGATGTAGACTAACGATGGAGACACTCGACAGACTTATGTGTATATCGCTTTGTGGACCCAAATTGACGGATTTTGACCCAACACCGACGCTGCGACGCTGGAAGGGTAGACAAAACCGACAGCTTTACAGTGGAAACCGTTCCATAGCTAAATTAGTCAAACCAACATCACGATAGGTTGAAATTGTATGTATCAGATCTGTGTCATTGCATTGTTAATAAATTGTATGTATATCATGTATATATGTTATGAAAGAGGCACTTGAGTGTATTCTTTAATTCATGCATGAACATTCAACAGATATGAGGTGGACGCGGCCAAATGCAAACGTCCGATTGGCAAAAAAATATCCCTGCGTGAAACACTCAGAAAGTAGCATTTATGCAACAATCAGATTGATGTCTTTGAATGAATGTATTCCCCACGCAATGCTTGTGTACCATTACTGCAGATGTTTACCGTTATGACAAATCCAAGTGTAATCAAGATGCTGTTACATCACTCACTGAGTGGAGGGGCATGCAGGGACAACTTACCTGTGTGGAGGGGCCACCTACCTGTGTGGAGAGACAACTTACCTGTGTGGAGGGGCCACCTACCTGTGTGGAGGGGCCACCTACCTGTGTGGAGGGACCACCTACCTGTGTGGAGAGACAACCTACCTGTGTTCAGAGACATGCAGGGACAACTTACCTGTGTGGAAGGACCACCTACCTGTGTGGAGGGACCACCTACCTGTGTGGGGGGACCACCTACCTGTGTGGAGAGACAACTTACCTGTGTGGAGGGACCACCTACCTGTGTGGAGAGACAACTTACCTGTGTGGAGGGACCACCTACCTGTGTGGAGAGACAACTTACCTGTGTGGAGGGACAACCTACCTGTGTGGAGAGACAACTTACGTGTGTGGAGGGACAACCTACCTGTGTAGCAGGGACCATCTACCTGTGTGGAGAGACATGCAGGGATAACTTACCTGTGTGGAGGGACCACTTACCTGTGTGCAGGGATATTCAGGGGCCACCTACCTGTGTGGAAGGACCACCTACCTGTGTGGAGGGACCACCTACCTGTGTAGCGGGATATTCAGGGGCCACCTACCTGTGTGGAGGGACCACCTACCTGTGTGGCAGTGACCACCTACCTGTGTGGAGGGATATTCAGGGACCACCTACCTGTGTGGCAAAGACCACCTACCTGTGTAGAGGGATATTCAGGGACCACCTACCTGTGTGGAGGGATATTTAGGGACCACCTACCTGTGTGGAAGGACCACCTACCTGTGTGGAGGGACCACTTACCTGTGTAGAGGGATATTCAGGGGCCACCTACCTGTGTGGAGGGACCACCTACCTGTGTGGCAGTGACCACCTACCTGTGTGGAGGGATATTCAGGGACCACTTACCTGTGTGGCAAAGACCACCTACCTGTGTAGAGGGATATTCAGGGGCCACCTACCTGTGTGGAGGGACCACCTACCTGTGTGGCAGTGACCACCTACCTGTGTGGAGGGATATTCAGGGACCACTTACCTGTGTGCCAAAGACCACCTACCTGTGTAGAGGGATATTCAGGGACCACCTACCTGTGTGGAGGGATATTCAGGGACCACCTACCTGTGTGGCAAAGACCACCTACCTGTGTAGAGGGATATTCAGGGACCACCTACCTGTGTGGAGGGATATTTAGGGACCACCTACCTGTGTGGAAGGACCACCTACCTGTGTGGAGGGACCACCTACCTGTGTAGAGGGATATTAAGGGGCCACCTACCTGTGTGGAGGGACCACCTACCTGTGTGGCAGTGACCACCTACCTGTGTGGAGGGATATTCAGGGACCACTTACCTGTGTGGCAAAGACCACCTACCTGTGTAGAGGGATATTCAGGGGCCACCTACCTGTGTGGAGGGACCACTTACCTGTGTGGCAGTGACCACCTACCTGTGTGGAGGGATATTCAGGGACCACTTACCTGTGTGGCAAAGACCACCTACCTGTGTAGAGGGATATTCAGGGACCACCTACCTGTGTGGAGGGATATTCAGGGACCACCTACCTGTGTGGCAAAGACCACCTACCTGTGTAGAGGGATATTCAGGGACCACCTACCTGTGTGGAGGGATATTCAGGGGCCACCCACCTGTGTGGAAGGACCACCTACCTGTGTAGAGGGATATTCAGGGGCCACCCACCTGTGTAAAGGGATATTCAGGGGACACCCACCTGTGTGAAGGGACCACCTACCTGTGTGAAGGATATTCAGGGGCCACCTACCTGTGTGGAGGGATATTCAGGGGCCACCTACCTGTGTGGCGGGACCACCTACCTGTGTGGAGGGACCACCTACCTGTGTGGAGGGATATTCAGGGGCCACCTACCTGTGTGGCGGGACCACCTACCTGTGTGAAGGGATATTCAGGGGCCACCTACCTGTGTGGCGGGACCACCTACCTGTGTGGAGGGATATTCAGGGGCCACCTACCTGTGTGGAGGGACCACCTACCTGTGTGGCAGTGACCACCTACCTGTGTAGAGGGACATGCATGGACCACCTACCTGTGTGGGGAGAGACATGAAGGGACCACTCACTGTGTGGAGGGACATGTAGGGACCACATACCTATGTGGAGGGACTGCCTACCTGTGTGGAGGGACTACCTCCCTGTATGGAGGGACATGCAGGGATCCCCTACCTGTGTAGAGAGGTCACCTACCTGGGAGGCTGCACAAACACTGAAGGCTCTCAGCACCACGTCTACAATTCTCTGTGAAGTGAGGACGTTGCCCCCGACAACTGCAGCATGCTCGGATGGGTCCAGGATGCTGCCCTTAGGAATGATGGCGTGCACAGGTTTCAGGCAACCCTAGCAACAGACAAGTGTTCACATAGCAACATGAAGGGAGGGCATCCTAGCAACAAATACTTTACATAGCAACACGAATGGAGGGAACCCTAGCAACAAGCTGTCTACAAAGCAACACGAATGGAGGGTATCCCAGAAATAGACAGTGTTCACATGGATACATGAATGATAGCAACCCTAGCAACAGACAGTGTTCACATGGCTACATTAATGATAGCAACCCTAGCAACAGACAGTGTTCACATGGCTACATGAATGATAGCAACCCTAGCAACAGACAGTGTTCACATGGCTACATGAATGATAGCAACCCTAGCAACAGACAGTATTCACATGGCTGCATGAATGATAGCAACCCTAGCAACAGACATTGTTGACATGGCTACATGAATGATAGCAACCCTTACAACAGTGTTCACATGGCTGCATGAATGATAGCAACCCTAGCAACAGACAGTGTTGACATGGCTACATGAATGATAGCAATCCTAGCAACAGTGTTCACATGGCTATATGAATGATAGCAACCCTAGCAACAGACAGTGTTCATATGGCTACATGAATGACAGCAACCCTAGCAACATACAGTGTTCACATAGCAACATGAATGATAGCAACCCTAGCAAAAGACAGTATTCACATGGCTACATGAATGATAGCAACCCTAGCAACAGACAGTATTCACATGGCTGCATGAATGATAGCAACCCTAGCAAAAGACAGTATTCACATGGCTACATGAATGATAGCAACCCTAGCAACAGACAGTGTTCACATGGCTACATGAATGATAGCAACCCTAGCAACAGACAGTGTTCACAGTGTACATGAACCAGCCTTTAGTTTTTGGGGTTAGGAATGTTTTTTAAGTGTTTCACAGTATTGTCCAAAAAATGTCAGGTTCATCAAGAAACTTAATGAAAGTTACATTTTTTTTCACCTAATGTTATGTACCTGATTCAAGGGCACGTTATGTCCCACCATACAGCGTAGACAGTAGATAAGTCCTGACAGAGTTACCGCCCTTGGAGCATTGCAGTTCCCATGCACCTCACAACCCGTGCCGGAGAAGTCAAACACAGCTGTGCCCTGGGTTGGAGACAAATAAATGGTGGAACTAAATAATAATCGGACCAGAAACATGGGTAACCTGCAAATGATTCAGTTACATCACAGCAACATGTAAATAATTCAGTTATATCACTGCGACCTTGTCAATAATTTCCTTATATCACAGCAACCAGCAAATAATTCAGCTATATCACAGCGACCTGTAAATAATTCAGCTATATCACAGCGACCTGTAAATATTTCAGTCATATCACAGCATCCCGTATTTCATTCAGCTATATCACAGCGACCAGATCAGAATTCCAGTGTTTGAGCAAAATGTTTGATAAACATGCATATGATGACACAGGACCAACCAGATTCCCATGTAACTGCCAGGCTTATATCATTATGGTCTTCTGTGCACAGCATGTCAGCTCCATGTTGGAGGAGGGCTTGAAGTGACAATTGTCCAACACATTTGCCACGTTTGTGAAGGCCATGAGCCAAATATAGATCAGAAAAACCAAGAATCATCAGCTACTAAAATCTGGGATTTGAACACACCCTAGCAAGGCTACAGAACTATGACAATTTCACAGTGTCAGCAGTTTTCTCCATTAGCATGTTATGGAATGAAAAATGACATGTTACCGATTTTGGCAGTTATCTCCACAATAGCAGAACCCAGCAAGGCTATTGCATAATACTCAGCGTAAGCAGTTGTCTCCCCTACCTCCTGTTCATCAATGTCCACTGTCAGGGCTATCTTGCTGCCATCATCCATGTAGTCACACGCGTGAAGCTTTGTGGTGCCGGTCCGCACCTTCGTGTCCCGTGCAATCTCCCGTAGCATGTCACCCACCGCAACCTCTGCATTGTTCTGGAAACAAAAGCAGTGACATATCATGAAACTCCAAATCCTGAAAAAAAATTAATATCAACATGTTAGTTATTAAAGTTCAACCTACTGTATTTTAATATTACACTATTCTAGTTATCATGTTTTATAAGATGATTTAAATAAAAAAGGAGACAGCATGATCCCCCTAAAGATATCGAATATTTTTCCCCCGTAGTTATCTAGTTTCTATTTAACGACATCTGACTGTAATAAGTTATGTGGAAACTAGTGTGGCTCACCTGTATATGTGCCATATAGGCCTGAACCACCTCCAGTCCATACTCATCTATCAGCTCCGATATCAGCTTGATGCCCTGAAACAGGAGGGAAGTGGTGAGATGAAATGGGGCTTAATGTTCTTACACAGCGACGTGAATGCATGTGTGTGTGGCTGATGTACTAGTCCGGACTGATGCCGATGTGGTAGCACACTGAGATACCATGCCACAGTTATCATGAATACCCCACTCAGACACAGTATACTGACTCTGTGCAAACCAGTCCCCTTATTGCTGAGTGCCAAGCAGGGTAACAACACATACCATCTTTTAACGTCTTTTAATATGACATGGCCGGGATCGAAAAGCTGACCTTCTGCTCTCTGGGCGGACGCTCTATCCACTACACCACGGAGACAGTCTCCAGGCAGACACTCTATCCACTACACCACGGAGACAGTCTCCAGGCAGACACTCTATCCACTACACCACGGAGACAGTCTCCAGGCAGACACTCTATCCACTACACCACATGGAGGGTCTCCAGGCAGACACTCTATCCACTACACCACGGAGACAGTCTCCAGGCAGACGCTCTATCTACTACACCACGGAGACAGTCTCCAGGCAGACACTCTATCTACTACACCACGGAGACAGTCTCCAGGCAGACACTCTATCCACTACACCACGGAGACAGTCTCCAGGCAGACACTCTATCCACTACACCACGGAGACAGTCTCCAGGCAGACACTCTATCCACTACACCACGGAGACAGTCTCCAGGCAGACACTCTATCTACTACACCACAGAGACAGTCTCCAGGCAGACGCTCTATCTACTACACCACAGAGAGAGTCTCCAGGCAGACACTCTATCGACTACACCACATGGAGGGTCTCCAGGCAGACACTCTATCCATTACACCACGGAGACAGTCTCCAGGCAGACGCTCTATCTACTACACCACGGAGACAGTCTCCAGGCAGACACTCTATCTATTACACCACGGAGAGGGTCTCCAGGCAGACACTCTATCCACTACACCACGGAGAGGGTCTCCTGGCAGACACTCTATCCACTACACCACGGAGACAGTCTCCAGGCAGACACTCTATCCACTACACCACGGAGACAGTCTTCAGACAGACACTCTATATACTACACAACGGAGACAGTCTCCAGGCAGACACTCTATCTATTACACCACGGAGACAGTCTCAAGGCAGACACTCTATCCACTACACCACATGGAGGGTCTCCAGGCAGACACTCTATCCACTACACCACGGAGACAGTCTCCAGGCAGACACTCTATCCACTACACCACATGGAGGGTCTCCAGGCAGACACTCTATCCACTACGCCACATGGAGGGTCGCCAGGCAGACACTCTATATACTACACCACGGAGACAGTCTCCAGGCAGACGCTCTATCCACTACACCACATGGAGGGTCGCCAGGCAGACACTCTATATACTACACCACGGAGACAGTCTCCAGGCAGACACTCTTTCTATTACACCAAGGAGAGGGTCTCCAGGCAGACACTCTATCCACTACACCACGGAGACAGTCTTCAGGCAGACACTCTATCCACTACACCACGGAGACAGTCTCCAGGCAGACTCTCTATATACTACACCACGGAGACAATCTCCAGGCAGACATTCTATCCACTACACCACGGAGACGGTCTCCAGGCAGACACTCTATCCACTACACCACGGAGACAATCTCCAGGCAGACTCTCACACAGTGAGTGAGTGAGTGTTTTATCAAGGCATGTCAGCTTAATGTGGGTGGAGTCATCTCCAGGGCCAATCAGTGCTTCTAAATCATAACCAGATTAAACAGGTAAAGCAGTAATGATTGATTACAATGATCTGCCGTGATTATTTACCACTATGATCTGCCATGATTGATTACAATGATCTGCAATGATTGTCTACAATGATTTGCCATGATTGATAACAATAATCTACCATGATTGATTACAATGATCTGCAGTGATTGTTTACAATGATCCGAAATGATTGATTACAATGATCTGCCATGATTGATAACAATAATCTACCACGATTGATTACAATGATTTGCACTGATTGATAACAATAATCTACCATGATTGATTACAATGATCTGCACTGATTGTTTACCACAATGATCTGCCATGATTGACTACAATGATCTGCCATGATTGATAACAATAATCTACCATGATTGATTACAATGATCTGCACTGATTGTTTACCACAATGATCTGCCATGATTGACTTCAATGATCTGCCATGATTGAAAACAATAATCTACCATGATTGACTACAATGATCTGCCATGATTGATAACAATAATCTACCATGATTGATTACAATGATCTGCCATGATTTATAACAATAATCTACCATGATTGATTACAATGATCTGCACTGATTGTTTACCACAATGATCTGCCATGATTGACTACAATTATCTGCCATGATTGATAACAATAATCTACCATGATTGACTACAAAGATCTGCCATGATTGATAACAATAATATACCATGATTGATTACAATGATCTGCCATGATTTATAACAATAGTCTACCATGATTGATTACAATGATCTGCACTGATTGTTTACCACAATGATCTGCCATGATTGGTTACAATGATCTGCAGTGATTGATTACAATGATCTGCAATGATTGAAAACAATGATCTGCAGTGATTGATTACAATGATCTGTCATGATTGATTACAATGATCCATCATGATTGATTACAATGATCTGACATGATTGTTTACAATGATCTGCAGTGATTGATTACAATGATCTGCAGTGAGTGTTTACAATGATCTGCCATGATTGATTACAATGATCTGCACTGATTGTTTACCACAATGATCTGCTATGATTGATTACAATGATCTATCATGATTGATTACAATGATCTGCCATGATTGTTTACAATGATCTGCAGTGATTGATTACAATGATCTGCCTTTACCTTCAACAAGAAAGGTTAATCTCCTACCCTCTGATTGGCTGCAATCTGGGCGCGCAGGTCACTGAGGTTGTCGGCGAGGTTGCGAGAGCCACTACTACCAGGGATCTTCCCAGGGTCCATAAACTTCTCAATCAGAGCTGGAAAGCATGTTGGGGAAGAGTGAGTGAGTGAGTTGGGTCTAATTGAGCTTTGCACAATATTACAGTTATATCGCTTGATGTGGGAGGAAGGCTTGATATGATGCAGGTCTTAGATGTTTACAGGTTTGTGAAACCCACGAGCACAAGTATGATGCTGACAAACCAAGAAACATGATCAGGGTAAAACAGGATTTAAACCCACAATCATAGGTTTCTGGCACATCAAAGGAAAGCAACTCTGCACAGCCAATTGAAGAGGTAAATAAGAGTAAAATGTCTCATTTTAATGAGATATACAAGTTTTAGCAATATTTGCACGGGGAACAAAACAAACTGGCTTTACAGACTGAACCCTTATTGGGAATCAAACCTGGGTCAGTGGTGTGATGAGGCAACCCTTTCACCTTTAGGCTACCTGCCCCCACTTTTTATTATGACAGAACTCACCTTTCTCCATGAAAACTCCCTCCTCCACCACTTTGAAAGACATGAAAACTGCACCCTCCTCCTCTATAGATGTGGAGTTAGCTGGCATGGAGCCTGGAGTTATCCCCCCTATGTCAGCATGGTGACCTCGACTTGCTACAAAGAACACTGGTCTCGCTTCTCCTTCGTAAAATACCTGATCAATAGAAAACAATTCATGTCCATATACAGTAGCACGTCGTTAGTCCAGAGACTGTTCATCCAGACACCTCATCTAGAAGACACCTCACCTAGAAGACACTTATTAGTGATAGAACGCTTACATGTACGCAAAGGGACATTACTCCGTTCATTACTCTGTTCATCTAGAAATTTGCTTATTTCAGTCCTGATTAATGAAATAACAAGCATGAAATACTCATATTCCCCAATAAATACCGCCATTTTCAGTCCAAGTCGTTGCCATGGAAATTCAAAAATATTTTTTCAAAAATTCCAAACTATCAAAAGGCACCAGTTTACCACTAGACCTATATCTGTGCCAAGTTTAGTTAAGATATGTCTCATGGTTTTTGAGGTCTGCTCTGAAAATGAAACATCGCAGACAGACATCACCCATTCCTATATCCCCCTTCCACTTCATTGCTGGGATAATAAACTGAACATAACAAAAGAGGATGAGAGCATCGAGTCCTGTTTGCAGGATGAGGCAGTGAGACACATAACGGCGATGCCGTTCCTTACGGGTGTGATGACGGTGAGGTCCGGAAGATGGCTGCCTCCAGCTGATGGGTGGTTGCTCAGGATCACGTCTCCCTTCCGGAAGTTGTCACCCAGCTGTCTCATCTGGAAATATAAGACACATATGAAATAAATAAAGTTTCAATACAACAATATCACATGAACATTTCATAACCAAAGGCTATTACAGCAGTAAAAATTGAAACATGTTATGATGTATTATGATATTTTATTCTTCTTTCAAATCATTATGATGAATTCTGCTCGCAGTTTTTAGACTAACAATTGAGGGGATCATCAAATCAAAGTTTCAGCTTAATATGCCAAATGGATTCATAGGAGATATGGATGAAAAATAAACAGACAATGAGTGAGTGAGTGAGTGATGTTTTACGCCGCCTTTAGCAATATTACAGCAATATCATGGCAGGCGACACCAGAAATGGTCTTCACATATTGTACCCATGTCGGGAATCAAACCCGGGTCTTTGGTGTGATGAGCGAACGCTTTCACCACTACCCGACTGCCCCAACCATACAATGCACTATGCACCATGTCATATTTGAACATTCATTTCAGGTAGGCTGATAAATACTGATGATATTACGGTTTCAGCATATATATACTTGTTAGAAAAAGTCCTATTTGTACTGGATTGCTTACATGGAGATTAGGACCTGTGAAGATCCGGTTTAGGTCTTCAGTAACCCATGCTTGCCTTAAGAGGCAACTATGCTTGTCGTAAGAGACAACTTATGGGATCAGACTCGCTGACTGTAATCATATCCCAATTGCTTAGAGCGATGCTCATGATGTCAATCACTGGATTGTCTGGTTCAGACTTGATTATTTACAGACCGCCATCATATAGCTGGAAAAATGCTGAGAGCGTCATAAAACAACAAACAAACATGAAGATTTGACATGGTCAGCATGGTCTCCACATGTACAGCGATCCACCAAGGTGTACAGGAACTGACCCAGGTGTACAGGAACTGACCCAGGTGTACAAGAACTCACCAAGGTGTACAGGAACTCACCCAGGTGTACAGGGACTCACCTGATACTGTACAGTCTCCTGCACGGCCCCCAGGTGTACAGGATCTCACCCAGGTGTACAGGAACTGACCCAGGTGTACAGGATCTCACCCAGGTGTACAGGAACTCACCTGATACTGTACAGTCTCCTGCACGGCCACCAGGTGTACAGGATCTCACCCAGGTGTACAGGGACTCACCCAAGTGTACAGGGACTCACTCAGGTGTACAGGATCTCACCCAGGTGTACAGGAACTCACCCAGGTGTACAGGAACTCACCTGATACTGTACAGTCTCCTGCACGGCCACCAGGTGTACAGGATCTCACCAAGGTGTACAGGGACTCACCCAAGTGTACAGGGACTCACTCAGGTGTACAGGATCTCACCCAGGTGTACAAGGACTCACCCAAGTGTACAGGGACTGACTCAGGTGTACAGGGACTCACCCAGGTGTACAGGATCTCACCCAGGTGTACAGGAACTCACCTGATACTGTACAGTCTCCTGCACGGCCACCAGGCGTACAGGATCTCACCCAGGTGTACAGGGACTCACCCAAGTGTACAGGGACTCACTCAGGTGTATAGGGACTCACCCAGGTGTACAGGAACTCACCCAGGTGTACAGGGACTCACCCAGGTGTACAGGAACTCACCCAGGTGTACAGGGACTCACCCAGGTGTACAGGGACTCACCCATTCGTACAGGGACTCACCTGGTACTGTACAGTCTCCTGCATGGCGCCCAGGTGTACAGGGATGTGAGGTGCATTAGCCACCAGTCCACCATCAGGACCAAACATAGCGCAGGAGAAATCCAGTCTTTCCTGTAGGAACAGTTTCATATACAGCCAGGTTAAGAATTACCAGGACAAACATGTCACCAACATCTCAATTTCCCAAAACAAAACAGTTTCTCCTGGCACAATGACTAGAAATGTACTTGTGCCAACATACATCCCAATGAAAGGTACTGTCCACTTGGATTAATCATAATTCCCCTCTGAATAAATATTGCTGTACAATTGTTCAATGTGACAATGATATGGTCTCAAATACGTCTATATATACTGACCTTAATGTTGGTTGAGATGGATGTCCTCTGCAGAACTCTGAAAAAAAGAATTAAAAACTTTTTGATTTTCTTCCACTGGATCACACTGCAGTTAGGATACATACACCCCTGAGAGATTTCTACTGGATCCTGTTGTGTAAGTGTTCTGAGCTGAGCGACACGACACAACACAACACAACACAACACAACAGTTGATAACTAACACTGAGTAATCAGTATAGATCGATCATTGATCAGATATATGTCTACAACAGTGAAGTTAAAAAGATTTCTAACACTACTAGGGGGCACGGGTGGCCCAGTTGTCAAAAGAGCCACGATTCGCTGTGCAGAGTTGCGTCCCTTGGGCACGCCAGAAACCTATGATTCGAATCCCAGTTCGCCCCGATTATGTGTCTAGGTTTGTCAGCACCATACCTGTGCTAGTGGGTTTCACCGAAGTGGTAAATGTCTGAGGCCTACATCACTTCGGGCTTTCCTCCCACATTAAGCTGACACGTCATGATATAACTGGAATACTGTTAAAAGCGGCGTTAAACCCAACTCACTCACTCACTCAATACTACTGTCAATGTCAGAAGCTGCTTTAAGTGGTACTTGCCTGCCCATTTGCTCAGCGATGCTCATGAACCTGTGTGAGAAGATGGACAGTTGTATCGCATCCAGCTCTGTCCCCACAGACTTGTGAAGTCCTTCTCCTATCTGGGACAAAACAAACATACCATATACTTTGAGAATATTAAGTGCAGAACAGTGCACTCATTGGTAAGAGTCCATCAATTCCAATAGGTGTCACCTCACATGATGTTATTTCAATGTTAGGACAAAGACACCGATAGAGACTTGCAATGAAGAGTTAGCTGTTCATATACTTTCATCAATGAAATCAGTTTGTCTCTATTTCTCATGCTTGCCATTAAAGGCGACTTTGCTTGTCATAAGGGGCGACTAACGGGATTGGGTGGTCTGGATCGCTGACTTGGTTGATGCATGTCATCGTGTCCCAAATGCGTGGATCGATGCTCATGATGTCAATCACTTGATTGTCTGGTCCAGACCGACCTCATATTGCTGGAACTACTGAGTGCAGCATTAAACAACTAACAAACAAACAAACAAACTGAGCGCCATGGCATCTTGACCCACAAGGGTATACTATCAAAGGAATGTTTGAGTCCTGTGTGGGCTTTCTTTGTTACAATCAAACTTTTTCAGTTGAGGTGGTTAAGATAGGAATGACATATTTTAGTAAGCTGACATCTTATTGGCTAGAATAGGTCTTCAGCAACATATGCTTGCCGTAAAAGGCGACTATGCTTGGTTGTCTGTTCCAGACTCCATTATTTACAGACCACCATCATATAGCTGGAATATTGATGAGTGCGGCGTTAAACAACAAACAATCAACAACAAACAATTGTCTCTACTTCAGTTTTCTATTTAAGAACATGGATTTAGTTTGAATTTTCACAGTGAAAGCTGTTTTTTCAGAAACATAATAGTGTGTCTGAATGAGTGAGTGAGTGAGTGAGTGAGTGAGTGAGTGTGTGTGTGTGTGTGTGTGTGTGTGTGTTCGTGTGTGTTCGTGTGTACATGCGTGCGCGTGCATGTGCGTTTGTGTGTACATGCGTGTGCGTGTTTCAGAGAGGGAGGACTGATACACCAACAAATACATCCACATGTTGTCCCAATGCTGTGATTTTGTTGAACACCAGGGTAAACAACCCATCTGTTTCCTTCAGTGACCCCCATCTAAGACAGATGAGATGTACACAGGGTGGAGCGTCTGGTTACAGGAGTGACAAACTCCACAGGCTCCAACGTGTACAAAATACAGCAGCACGTATCGTCACAAAGACATCAAAATGGACTCCAGTAACACCTGTTCTGACGTCGCTGCACTGGTTACCACTCAAAGCCAGAATTGAATTCAAAATTCTAACCCTGGCCTACAAATGCTACATGGAAACAGCCCCATTATATCTCACCGAACTACTGCCTAAATACAAGCCTTCCAGATCTCTCCGTTCTCAGAATAACCACCTGTTACAAGTCCCGGAAACCCGTCTCAAAACCTTTGGTCAGAGATCTTTCCAGTTCTGCCCTTCCTCGCTATGGAACAAACGACCATCTGATCTTAAGCTGTCGCCATCGCTTTCATCCTTTAAGGCTCATCTGAAAACACACCTTTTCACACAACACTATCAACTCTACTCCCCCTTTCATTAGCATCACTTGCTAAAACTATGTAGCGCCATCAGCATTAACTTGGTGAATGGAATCTGGCGAAGTATAAATGGACTTATTATTATCAAACTCACCACTATCTCAATGTCCCCCTGCCCAGTGATGGAGGCGGTGCAGGTGGGCTCAATCAGCACAGTGCTGGAACACAGTAGCATATGTATTGAATGGAGGGCAATGTGTTCAACAGTACGACAGTGCGGTGAACATCATTAACAGTACACCTACAGATCAAGGCCCCGTTCCACAAAGCGATCTTAGCGCTACGATCATCGTAAGCCTATGTTAAAGTATGGGAGTTACGATCATCTTAGCGCTAATATCGCTTTGTTGAACGGGGCCCAGTTAACCTCAATGTCATTTACCATCAGCTCAATACTGCACATGAACATTACCAGAGTCTATCCAAAATGTTGGACAAGTTTTGCGAGTGACGGACTACAGTTATAACAAACTATTTCAACAGTCCCCTGTAGTTTGTTGTGGGCAGGTTTTACTGTTTTACAGGTTTTACTAATGGCTCCTGTGCGCACCTGTTGACATCTGTGATAATTGCCGGTCCCTTGATCACATGACCAGCGGTGATGTCATCCATGTGGTACACGGAGGTGTCATGGAAACCGTCTTCAAAGAAACAGCTGGTCATCTAAAACAAGGCAAGGAAACATTTTACTTGAGAATAAATAAGAGATGGAGTAAGTGAGTGAGTGAGTGAGTGAGTGAGTTGGGTTTAACGTCCCTTTTAACAGTATTCCAGATATATCGTGGCTTGTCAGCTTAATGTGGGAGGAAAGCCCTAAGTGATGCAGGTCTCAGAAGTTTACCACTTTGGTGAAACCCACGAACACGGGTGCTGACAAACCTAGAAACATAATCGGGGTGAACTGGGATTTGAACCCACAATCATAGGTTTCTGGCATGCCCAAGGGATGCAACCCTGCACAGTGAATCGCGGTGCCTTAGACAACTGGGCCCCCCATGCCCCCCATGCCCCCCAATAAGAGATGGAAAGGTAATAGATATTATAACATCTACTCTGCTCAGTCAGTATTATGTCACCAATGGTATGTGTGTGTGAGTGTGCATGTGCATGTGTGTGAGTGTGCATGTGCATGTGTGTGAGAGTGAATATGCATTTGTGTGAGTGTGCATGTGGATGGGTGCGAGTGTGCATGTGCATTTGTGTGAGTGTGCATGTGTGTGAGTTAGCATGTGTGTGAGTGTGCAAACTATCCACTGGGGCACGATCATCCACGATGACATGTCATCAATCAAATCACTGAGTCTGACCACCGGATCCATTAGGTCACCTCTTTCAACCAGCATTGGTTGTTGGAGACCAATTCCAACCTGGAATCCCCCCAGTCTGCTCCATCTAATTAAAGAATGCATGGTTTCTTAAGCTTTGTTTTTGTTCGTTGTTTAATGCAACACTCAGCAATATTCCAGCTGTATGACAGCGAATGCAAAAAAATGGAGTCTGGACCAGGCAATCCAGTGATTAATGACATCATGAGCATCAATCCAGGCAATTGGGATACGATGACATGCATCAACCAAGCATAGTCGCCTTTTACGGCAAGCATATGTTGCTGAAGACCTATTCTAGCCAATAAGATGTCAGCTTACTAAAATATTTTTTATTCCTATCTTAACCACCTCAACTTAAAAAGTTTGATTGTAACAAAGAAAGCCCACACAGGACTCAAACATTCCTTTGACAGTATACCCTTGTGGGTCTAGATGCCATGGCGCTCAGTTTGTTTGTTTGTTTGTTGTTTAATGCTGCACTCAGCAGTATTCCAGCTATATGAGGTCGGTCTGGACCAGACAATCAAGTGATTGACATCATGAGCATCAATCCACGCAATTGGGATACGATGACATGCATCAACCAAGTCAGCGAGCCAGACACCCGATGCCGTTAGTCGCCTCTTACGACGAGAATAGTCGCCTTTTACAGCAAACATCGGTTGATGAAGACCTATTATGCCCCGGACCTTCACTGGTAAACGATGGGGTGTATAAAATATCAACAACACTAAATCTTCCAGCAGAGGTTATCACACTGGGGTAACATAGCAGATCTCAATGAGTTTGTTGATGACATCCAATGGGGTTACAATGAAGTCAGCCATCATAGATTACAGAACAATTGTGAGCAATCAGCAACCTGCGGCAAGATTGTAATTTATGCACTGTTGACATAGAACACCATATTTTTTATGTTCTGACTCCTATGCTATGAATCTCATCTGAAATGTTTCATAGTGTCATAGACCTGGGGGATTCTGGGTAAACTATAAAGTCCCTAGCAACCTATGCTTGTCTCCCTGTGGGGATTCTGGGTAAGGGTATAGGTCCCTAGCAACCTATGCTTGTCTTCCTGTGGGGATTCAGGGTGAGATCATAGGTCCCGAGCAACCTATGCTTGTCTTCCTGTGGGGATTCTGGGTAAGGGTATAGGTCCCTAGCAACCTATGCTTGTCTCCCTGTGGGGATTCAGGGTGAGATCATAGGTCCCTAGCAACCTATGCTTGTCTCCCTGTTAGGAGTCCTGGTAAGAGCATAGGTCCCTAGCAACCTATGCTTGTCTCCCTGTGGGGATTCTGGGTAAGGGTATAGGTCCCTAGCAACCTATGCTTGTCTCCCTGTTAGGAGTCCGGGTAAGGGTATAGGTCCCTAGCAACCTATGCTTGTCTCCCTGTTAGGAGTCCGGGTAAGGGTATAGGTCCCTAGCAACCTATGCTTGTCTCCCTGTAAGGAGTCCGGGTAAGGGTATAGGTCCCTAGCAACCTATGCTCCGGGTAAGGGTATAGGTCCCTAGCAACCTATGCTTGTTTTCCTGTGGGGATTCCACGCAAGAATATGAGTGTCCAGTAACCTGGACAACAAATAAATACACAAAGAAATAAACAAACATCATACTTTAATTCATTAAAACCTACAAAGACATTAAAAATGAAAATGTGTGAAACCTGTTGTCTCTTACCCTTCTAGACTTGGCATCACCAGCAGCTTCCTTGACGGCGACGTCTGACGCAGCATGTGACCTGCCGATCCCTCGAACACGGATGTCATCGATCACAACAGCACGATCCTTCAGTGTGAACCCAAACTCTGTGTTGTACCTACAGTACCACAGACCAGGGTGAGTGAGTGAATTGGGTTTTATGCCATGTTTAGCAATATTCCAACAATATCACAAAAGGAGGACCCCAGATGTAGGCTTCACGCATTGTGGGGAAGCGAACCTGGGTTTTCAGTATGAGCGAACGCTTTAACCACTAGACTACCCATTACTATTAGTCACTTTGGTATCTACCTTATATCCCTGTCTGAAAATAATATTTCTTTCACAATGACTTCAAAAAGTTGATATGGTAAGTTGGGGATAGCTCATAATCAGAATGGATGAACTTCATGAGCACCAGTGGTGACAGACCAAGGAACATAATTAGGATAATTTGAACACTAAATAAGCGGATCCTGGCAGGTAAGGGACAGAACTCTGCATCTTTTTCACTTCCAACCTTTGAGTGAGTGAGTTGGGTTTAACGCCGCTTTTAACAGTATTCCAGTTATATCACGGCGTGCCAGCTTAATGTGGGAGGAAAGCCCCAAGTGGTGCAGGTCTAAGACGTTTACCACTTTGGTGAAACCCACGAGCCCGGGTATGGTGCTGACAAACCTAGAAACATAATCGGGGCAAATAGGGATTCGAAACCAACCTTTGAAATATTGCTGACAGACCAAGGTTAATAATTTGGATAATTTGAACACTAAATAAGCGGATCCTGGCAGGTAAGGGACAGAACTCTGCATCTTTAGTTGTCACTTCCAACCTTTGTAATATTGCTGACAGACAAAGGTTCATAATCAGAGTGACTTGAACACTATCAGCTGATCCTGCAGGCAAGGGACACAACTCTGTGCGTGTTGTGAGTACCTACCTATTAAGGAAGGCTGCCCTGAAGTCCCCGTAGCTGCTGGTCTGGGGTGTGGCAGGGTAGGCCTCCGCTGAACACATCAGGGCACAGTCGGTCTTCTGGTAGCGGAGATGCAGGAAGGGCTGGGTCTCAATCTGATGGCTGAGCAGAAACATGTAATGAATGAGTGAGTGAGTGAGTGAGTGAGTTTGATTTTACGCCACTTTTAGCAATATTCCAGCAATATCACGGCGGGGGACACCAGAAAGGGGCTTCACACATTGTACCAATGTCGGGAATTGAACCCGGGTCTTCGGCGTGACGAGCGAACGCTTTAACCACTACGCTACCCGACCGCCCCTGAGGTGAGGTGAGGTGTTTGTGTGTGTGTGTGTGTCTGTGTGTGCTTGAACTAGTCCAGACTAATGCTGATTTTATAGTGCAAGCTCACTGAGATACCATGCCGCAGTGTAAGAAGAATACCCAACTCCGACACAGTATACTGACTCCAACAAGCCGACCAGTCGTTTTAGCCCCTTAATGCCGAGCGCCAGGCAGTGTAACAACGGTAACATCATTTTTTAATGTCTTTCGGTATGAAACGCCTGGGGGTTGGGTTGAAGCCCGGATATACTCTCTCTGGGTGGATGTTCTACCATGAGACCACAGGGAGAGGGGGGAAGGGGGGCTGTTGGATAAATGTCAGGTAATATTCTGCATAGTTTCTCCTTTAACTCACTTAACCACCTCCTTACTCTTGTCCTCTCTACTTCTTGAAAGTGGTCCCCCAAGTAGTAGTCTGTGCACATGCCCCGGCTGTAATGTCTACTGATTCAAATCTACACATTCCCTTGTCAAGGCAACAACATGTCTTTGCATGTAATAATTTGATGATCATAATACTTGTCTCAGACAATCTCAATACAGTTCCATCATTCCCACTTATCATAAACATGATAAAGTCAGGGAAATCTTAGTGACACCCTGTGACAACACCACTATAAACAATTTTAGTTATAGTATTGTTATTTCCAGGTTATTTAGCAAGACAATCACCTTGAATAAATGAATGCTGTATATGAAACTGCCTTGCGCAATACAATTGAAATCAAATTAATCTTGTCAATAGTAATATTCCATTACAAAAAAACTTTTAACCAGGTTTGTACTCTCCTGTTTGCAACAGCAAAAATGGAAAAAAGAGCTGTTTGTACACAACATTGTTCTGTGTGAGTACAGTCTTATGACGCTCTGAGCAATATTCCAGCAATATCACGGCAGGGGACACCAGAAATGGGCTTCACACATTGTACCTATGTGCAGAATCGAACCCGGGTCTTCGGTGTGACGAGCAAACGCTTTAACCACTAGGCTACCCCATCTCATAACCATGTGTTATCTCTGTGAACTGCTCATGTATATAAAAGATATTTGATATTATGATATTTGTAATGCACAAATTAATCAAGCATTATGAATGTAAACCTACCTCTTGAAGCCTTGACTCTTCAGCTCCTCTCTACATTCATCTGACAGGGCTTTAATCCGGCCATCGATGTAGGCGAATGATGCTGCAAACATTGTACATCGTAATAACCTTCAAGGGAGATAAAGTGGACACAATGTATGGATAACATCTTGCCTTCCTTGACAACAGTATAAGGATCTTTACCGAAATGTCGCCTTTACAGTAAATAAAGAAGTTGTTATCCATAAATTGTGTCCAGTTTGTCATCCTTGAACTTCCAAGTAATGCCTGTCAAACAATTCAAGGGAGATAATAATGTGTTTTTCACATTGCCCTGTTATTTATCTACCTAATCATATCTCATCATTGGTACTTCTGTCCAACGTACATATATATGTTTGCCATAATAAGCATGGAGCTTATTAAAAGCATACACTGTTTCCATAGATCAAGTGGTAGCTCAAACATACCCAAATGGAAACCCTTTCCAATAATTGCTACTAGTCACACATATACCTCTACTGTAACAAATATGTTTAAAACATAAATTAATTTACTGTGATGTACTTTTTTTGGCCTTTTTAGGGGTCCTTATTAAAATTACTCATAGAAGTTGGTCAGGGCACTTAATACGGCAGTACGGTAAATCAAATTGACACATGTAACCTTTGATATAGGATTCAGTAAGGTTTGACAGAAATAGGACTCTGTTTAAAGCAATAATGTTAAATTCCCTCAATTCCCTTTCATCATTCCCAAGACTAACACAAGCTATGCAATACTCTGCCATTATCCATCCAACAGGACAGTACAGTAATACAAAAGAAGCATGAAATACTAATATCCCAAGCCAATATGACATGTCTGGTTGCTATGGAAACTAAAAAAATAATGTTTTTAAATATCCCAAACTATCAAAAGGCACCTGTTTACCACTAGACCTATCTATGTGCCAAGTTTGGTGAAGAAATTTTGTATGGTTTTCCATATCTGCTCTGGAAAGGAGCACTATTGTCATTTTCAGTCTAAGTCAAAGTCATTGCATGGAAACTTAAAAAATAAAAAAATTTAAAATCCCAAATTATCAAAAAGCATCAGTTCACCACTAGACCTATCTAAATGCCAATTATGTTAAGATATATCTCATGATTTTTTTAGTTCTGCTCCGGAAATAAAAAGTTATTGATGGACGGACGGACAGCACCCATTCCTACATCCCCCTTCCTCTGCAGGGATAATAACCAATGACTGCTCCATTTTCCCTTTCATCACTTTCCAAGCTAAAAACATATATTCTTGCTATGAGCATCTCAGTTGATACTCATGTAGTACTGCAGGTTTTACTCATGGGGCTTGTCCTGGCATGAAGCCAGTGATGAAACAATGTTATGCATTTCCAATTACTGTTTAAAACAGTAGAGGGATGCTTTCCCTTAGTATCTTTTCTTGACGTCATGACCTGATGCAGCCAGGACTAATACCATGTTATACACTAGAGCTGCATGGTAAACCAGCATACCGCGATATGAAATACTAATGAATACTCATCACAATACATTTTGAAAATACTGGTTTAATGTGTTTTTCAAAATCATCCATATTTTCTTCTTGTTGGCAAAGTTTAGGCAAGTGACAAGTCGAAGGGAAATTCAGAAATTAGCAACTGATTCATGTGTTCGAAAAGCGAAACTTTTCCCGACCAGCTTCCTGCATATAATGTGTCTATAACACATACGTTGCAACAAAAGCAACATCCAACAAAATGGCGGACGACTACGGAGTTGGCGAAAATGATGTTTTTTTTTATTCAGGTTCACAAATTACAGTTCAGAGAATGCATGCAAACTATTGTGGTATCTCAAAACATAATTCATTATTTCAATAAATTGCAATACGAGAGTCAGGCCAATACGCATCACTATTAACACCTACCTGTCTCGTACGTCTTGGCACAGGGTTCCTGAGCTTCGTGTACAACATCTGCTAGGGCCATTCCATAGGCAGACAGGATGCTGGCGTACCTGATGCAGATAGAGGCAGTGAGTGAATAGAGTTTTAATCCAGTCACACAAATAATAGGTTCGATAATTTTCAGTACTAATTCCGATTTTATAGTGCTTGCCCACTGAGATACCATGCCACAGTTTAACATGAATACCCCACTCACAGTATACTGACTCTGAGCCGACCAGTCCTTGTTGTAACCCCTTAACACTAAGCGCGAGGCAGGGTAACAAGTCTTTTGGTATGACACGTCCGGGGAGTGAAACCCATACCTTCCGCTCTCTGGGTGGACGCCCTACCACTACACCACCGAGGCAGTCTCCAGGCTGACTCTCTACCATTAGACCATGGAGGTGGTCTCCGGATGGATGCTCTACCACTCGACCATGAAGGCGGTCTCCAGGTGGACACTCTACCATGAAACCACGGAGGCGTTCACCGGGCGGACGCTCTACAACGAGACCACAGAGGCGGACTCTGGGCAGACGCTCTACCACTAGACCACAGAGGAGGTCTCCAGACGGACCCTCTACCAAGAGGCCACAGAGGAGGTCTATGGGCAGACGCTCTACCACTAGACCACAGAGGAGGTCTCCAGACGGACCCTCTACCAAGAGGCCACAGAGATGGTCTCTGGGCAGACGCTCTACCACTAGACCACAGAGGAGGTCTCCAGACGGACCCTCTACCAAGAGGCCACAGAGATGGTCTCTGGGCAGACGGTCTACCACTAGACCACAGAGGTCTCCAGACGGACCCTCTACCAAGAGGCCACGGAGATGGTCTATCGGCAGAGGCTCTACCACTAGACCACAGAGGAGGTCTCCAGACGGACCCTCTACCAAGAGGCCACAGAGATGGTCTATGGGCAGACGCTCTACCACTAGACCACGGAGGTGGTGTGCGGGCGGATGCTCTACCACAGGACCACAGAGATGGTCTCTGGGCAGACGCTCTACCACTAGACCACGGAGGCAGTCTCTGGGCAGACGCTCTACCACAAGACCACATAGGCAATCTCCAGGCGGATACTCTACCACTAGACTACTAAGGCATTCTCCGGGAGGACTCTCTACTACTAGACTACGGAGGTGGTCTACGGGTTGATGCTCTACCACTAGACCATGGAGGTGGTCTCCGGGCGGACACTCTACCACGAGATCACAGAGGAGGTCTCCAGGCGGACCCTCTACCAAGAGGCCACAGAGACGGTCTCCGGGCAGACGCTCTACCACAGAGGCGGTCTAGAATCACCCCAGGGTGTTATGTTTGTTGTTGTATGGCTACAACTCACTTGTGTATAAACACTCGGCTCATCCCCAGTGACCTTGCAATGGCACATGCATGTTGACCTCCAGCTCCTCCAAAACATGCCAGTAGGTGGCGTGATGTGTCATGACCTTTAGCCTGCAAGGTGCATGATATGATATATAGACAAATGTTTTTACTTGTTGGTTTGCAATTATATTATTATTATATACCATATTATTTATATACCACCGGTATCCAGGTACTGGTATCTACTCAAATGAGGTTTTATTTGTTCCTCATCCAGTGGATCCGTTTGCATTCAGTTATCATTCTCAACTCCCTGGGGAGTATACAACCCAAGCTGCCCAGGGGTGCTGGAAGGTTTGTACATCCACCTCACATATCGGGTACCCTTTCCCTGTTGGGTGAACAGAGTGAGTGAGTTTGGTTTTACGCCGCTTTTAGCAATATTCCAGCAATATCATCGCAGGGGACACCAGAAATGGGCTTCACACATTGTACCCATGTCGGGATTCGAACCCGGGTCTTCGGCGTGACAACGAACGCTTTAACCACTTGGCTACCCGACCGCCCCTGGGTGATCAGAGGCACATTTGGCTTAGTCACTTTCCCAGGGTGACAACACAAGTTTTGACTCTATCAATATGCATGCAATAGGCATGCATTGTTTATCATCCTTTGGGATGGATTTTCTTACTTTTATTGCGTTTCACCTACACATACTGCCAATAAAACTCTCCTTTTTACTTATAAGTTTTGTATGATACTACTACACTTTTCACATACTGTGTTACAATTATTAATGTACAAAAGGTTTTCTTACAATTCAGAACTTGAAATAAAATCAATGTCAAGAGAATGTTACAGCTTTTCCACCTTGGATTCAAATTTTGAACCATCTGATTGTGAAGCCATTGAGATTGTTGTCTGCCACAGGTGTTGTGTGCTGGAGAAGGCTTTAGAAAACTAATGACTTTTAACATACTATTTTTACGTCTGTGTCAGTTACTTTTGTTGGTAGTGATACCTAAACAAAATAAATGTTCAGTTAGTAGGATTTAAGTATCGGCCAGTACACCAACAGACCAGCATGTGAAACCTCCCTGGCTAGTGCCTAGCAGGTCCCAAGATGGGAATGTAGGTGTGTTGGCTGATATACCTCAAACAGTATGTTTATAACCTTGACATGACTTTTAATTCAATACTTGTGTCATGGGATAAAGACATTAAACAACATACGACCTTGAATCATCAGAACCTTACCGAAACCTGAGTCTATGTTATCAAGTTAATCACAAAATTTGAAAATAAACAATTAGCTCCAGCTAAAGAGCAAAAAGTTCTACATGTATAAATTTCTCATGAATATCTTACCTCTGTAAGTGCTCTGATTGGTCGACACATGGCTTCATTAGCAACGCGAATAAATCCCATAGCAACTTCCTCTGCTGTCATTGGCTTCTTTTTGGCATCGCCTGGTTGGGAAGTCAGGAAGTCATTCACCTGGCAATTCAACACGTGATTTCTTCATGTCTACATTGTGTATTCATAAAACCTTCCAGGTAGTGTTGGGAACTACAAGATATATGTACTGCAACATTATTCTCTAATCAGGAAATCTATCTGGATAATTTCATGCTACTGTCCAGATTAACAAGGTTTCACTCTAAATGAATCACCAGGCCATGTGACTACATGTACTAACTGACAGGATTTTGTATTCACTTAATGCCCTACTCACAAGTAATGAAGCTATATGATTGAGACCTATAAATAACTAAGTCTGGACAATATAATGCAGTGATACATATTATGAGCCAGCACAACACTCTATCTACCATATGTCACAGAGTCTGACCACCCAATCCATTCAGTCGTGAATTACGACCACCACAGGCATCTTCCCGAGACAAGAGAGTTAACTGACTTTAAAAGTCCAGTTTCCACCCTTGTCGAACTAGGCTGGAATTACTGGGTTCGATCATAGCGCCACCAGTGGCTATTACCAGTTATGTCCCGTCTAAGCCTCGCCTATTGACCAATCAGATTCCACCTCTCGTATCACTTGCGTTTGCTTCACACAAAATGGTGGCGCCCAGTCAGGACGATCTGATCGATAATCCAGATATATATTGTGATAAAACGTGTCTTACATCGCAAAATGCATTAAATCCCGTGAGCACCTTTATTAAAAACATGAAAAGATTTGGAAAATATCTGCTGGCAACAATTTGGCGGTGCACATGCTTTGCAAATCCTGCAATCGACCGAAATCTGCACGACAGTTAACAAACCGGATTTCTATTTCGGTGCGCGATTTTGATTTGACTATGCATAGACTTGTTAGTCCAGCCAAAATGTAACTCCATAATACCAGCCTAGTTCGGCAAGGGTGGAAACTGGACTTTATAGTCAGTTAACTCCCTTGCCTCCTGGAAGATGACCACAGGTTGCTGGAGATGAATTCAAACACGGAATCCCCATCGGGACAGAAACATGCAGTGAATATTACCTCCTTTGTCAGCTTGGTGAAGGCTTGTAAAGTGGCCTGTTTGTCGAGTGGTTGATCTTCTTTCTCGCCGAAAATACTTGGGAAAAACTCCGGTAGGATCCGGCCTAGACACAAGTTGGCATCGGTGATAGTCAGAGGACCTCCTGTAATATTGAGGTACAGCAATATTTCAGCTAGATCACAGCGGCCTGGAAGTAATCAAGACTGGACCAGACAAACCAGAGATTGGTGTTAGAAGTAGAATTTCATGTTGTACCATGAAACACAATCAACAAAGCCATGCAGTCCAAAACAAATATAGATTACTGGGGCCTCACCCTGGAGTGACAGCTGGGGTGACAATCACCCCAGTATATAATGATATTAGGTAAAATTAATCAACTTAAACTTAGCGAAGTATACATGCTTTTGAATGCAATAAACAATGTTCCCATTTACCAGTAATTACCAGTTTTTTACTGGTAAAATTAGGCTTGGGCCGATAATTCATGTGTCTGCCAGTCCCTGTCCACCGGTAAATAAAGTATCTCATAAATGTTTGGTGTTGAACAAAATATCGGCGATATTCATGTAAGTATAATTTTTTCAACGAAGTCAGCTTGTCTTTTATCATCTGGGTTTCCCCTTGTCTATTTTTAGTACAAGGAGAAAAAATTTCGCTTTGCTTCAAGGTTAAATACATATTTGTAGTGACTTTGTCTTGAAATTTAATAAAAGAGAGAAAATTGTGACTGAACTTTGTGTGAATGATTGTTTGTTTGTTGTTTAATGCCGCACTCAGCAATATTCCAGGTATATGTGCTTCTAAATGCCTATCAAAGACTTTGCTCCCACAACCGTTTCAGTAAGTCTCACCTTTCTTGTAGCACACAGGCCCGGGATGTGCCCCAGCAGACTCTGGTCCTACCACAAACATCCCTGACCGGAAAAACAGCATGGAGCCTCCACCTGCTGCCACCGTGTTGATGTCCAGCTGGAGTGAGTGAGTGAGTGAGTGAGTGAGTGAGTGAGTGAGTGAGTGAGTGAGTGAGTGAGTGGGTGGGTATGGGAGTGAGTGAGTGAGTGAGTGAGTGAGTGAGTGAGTGGGTGGGTGGGTATGTGAGTGAGTGAGTGAGTGAGTGAGTGAGTATGTGAGTGAGTGAACGAGTGGGTTAGTGAGTGAGTGAGTGAGTGAGTGAGTGAGTGAGTGGGTGGGTATGGGAGTGAGTGAGTGAGTGAGTGGGTGGGTATGGGAGTGAGTGAGTGAGTGAGTGGGTTTTGGAGTGAGTGAGTGGGTTTTGGAGTGAGTGAGTGAGTGGGTGGGTATGGAAATGAGCGAGTGAGTGGATATTAAAGTGTGTGCGTAGGTGAGTGAGTATGTGGGTGAGTGAGGGAGTGATCAGGTTGGTAGGAATGGGAATGAGTGAGTGAGTGAGTGGTAGGGAGAGTGAGTGAGTGAGTGGGTATGTGAGTGGGTATGTGAGTGAGTGAGTGAGTGAGTGAGTGAGTGAGTGAGTGAGTGAGTGAGTGAGTTGGGTTTGGGGTACTTTTAACACTTTTCTGGCACATCACAGTGGAGGCAACCCTGTTACTGGTACTTCAGCACAAGGTGCTAACGCTATAATCCCTGTGTATTTTGACGTGCCACTCCCACTAATAACTACCTTAATACCAAATTTCATTATCAGTTTCTTGGAAGAAGATTCTTATACTATTTTTCAGAATTTGAATTTAGTTGAATCTTTCTTTTTTCAAACTATGATTTGGATTTGAATGCCTTGAACAAATCTCAGATCAAGATGCAAAACATCCTCCTTGGGGGTCACCCTGTCAGAAGTTAATGGATGCCTTATGTTCACTTGTTCCTGGACAAAGAAACTTACTCCATCATAAAAATGAATGAATAGCATCTTACAGTTCATTTTCATTTATACATGTTCTGTACATATACCAACATCGTTTTGGATCCATGCATGAACTCACAACATAATACTCGCATCGTGTCATAAATAACTGCAAAGTAATGAAACTTAATTCCGCAAAACATTCCACCCTCTAAAGAAACACACAATGAGATTATCAAGGTCAGAGAAAATTGACATGTTTCTGATGTTTGTAACTTATTTATTGTTTAGGAAAGAACGACCTACTTGAGGAGCCTGGATGGTGACGCCTGCTGTGGTGGTTTCAAACACGTGTTCGAACTGACCCGCATAGCGACTCACATCTGTTGATGTTCCTTGAAATACAATACATGCATATAGTTACTCTTTGCAAGATCTCGCTACAGGATCAGCCTGTTCCAATTGGGTAAATGTCTGTAAGTTGCTCGTCTGCCTGTGTGTGTGTGAATTGGGATTAATCTACGTTTAAGCAATATTCCAGCATTACCACAGCCAGAGACATTAGAAATGACCTTCACACTTTGTAACCATTTTGGGAATTGAACCCAAGACCTTGGGTGTGATAAGCAAAAACCTTTACTGTGTGATTAGGTCACACCATCATCCCAACAATTAACAAAGAATGAATGAATATTGCAGATTACACTTCGGTAAAGGTTTGATTGTTTGTTTGTTATTTAACGCAGTACACAGCAATATTCCAGCTACATGACAGCGATCTGTAAACAATCAAGTCTGGACCAGACAATCCAGTGATTGACATTATGAGCATCGATCTATGCAATTGGGAAACGATGACATGCATCAGCGAGTCGATCCCCATAGTCGTGACTTACAAGCATGGGTTGCTGAAGACCAATTCTAACCCAGATCTTCATGGTCTTCAGTAATTGTACTACTACTTGCGACAACACACAACTGAGATCTTAGCCTATATCTAGTCTTCCCTGAAGGTCATAAATCATATTTGAAGGTTGTATGTCATATCTGATCGTCATTAGTCATTAGTCTAACATAACAGACAACAGAGTTACCTCCCATACCAAAACCTATCACGGCCCTGCCTGTTACTTTTTAACGTAACAGGCAATAGAGTTACCTCCCACATCGAATCCTACGATAGTCCTACCTGTAACTTGTTAATGCAACAGACAACAGATTTACCTCCTATGTCAAATCCTTTGACAGCCCTGCCTGTAACTGTCTCTATATTGCTAAAATAATGCTGATGCGATGTTGAATTATAACTCACTCACTGTAACCTTCTAATGTAACAGACAACAGAGTTACCTACCATGTCGAATCCTGTGACGGCCCTGCCTGTAACGGTCTCTATATGGCTGAAATAATGCCGATACAACGTTAAATTTTAACTCACTCACCATAACTGTCTAAGGTAACAGACAACAGAGTTACCTCCCATATCAAATCCGATGACAGCCCTGCCTGTAACTGTCTAACATAACAGACAACAGAGTTACCTCCCATATCAAATCTGATGACAGCCCTGCCTGTAACTGTCTAACGTCACAGACAACAGAGTTACCTCCCATATCAAATCTGATGACAGCCCTGCCTGTAACTGTCTAACGTAACAGACAACAGAGTTACCTCCCATATCAAATCCGATGAGAGCCCTGCCTGTAACTATCTAACATAACAGACAACAGAGTTACCTCCCATATCAAATCCGTTGATAGCCCTGCCTGTAACTGTCTAACATAACAGACAACAGAGTTACCTCCCATATCAAATCCGATGACAGCCCTGCCTGTATTGGCACTGTAGGAGGTGAGGGCGTAACCTACCACTCCACCTGCTGGACCCGACAGGATGGCCCGTGACCCGTTGAACCTGGCACCACAAACAGCAAACACTTGTCAATAGCAACACTTTCAGAAACCCTTTCTATGTAAGGGCTAAGTCAAACTTTAACATAGTTATAAAAAATATAATATAATAAAAAATATTCTTCACTAAGCATAGTCAGTTAAAAATGTAAGTTTGACCCCAATATTTACAAGTAACACCCTTATAAAATGATGATATTTACATGGTACATATCTTGCAGTGTCAAAAACATAATTAGGAACAATACTTGAATAGTTTTGCTATTACAGGGAAAAGAACAACAATTATTTCTAAAATGTCAATTTTGAGAATATTCCAAGAAACATACTTTTGAACTGGTGTTAAACCTCCTTCAGACTGCATGAAAAGCACTTTGGTGTTCTGAAACAAAACACAAACATAAATTATCAATACTAACAATGTGGTTCAGTGTTTTTCTTAAAAACTGACACACAATCAACCAATACCAATGGTGAGTACCTATACTGACCCTAAATGCCCAAAAGGTTTTCCTCCATTGGAGTGAGTGAGTTGGGTTTAACGCCGCTTTTAACAGTATTACAGTTACATCGCAGCGTGTCAGCTTAATGTGGGAGGAAAGCCCGAAGTGATGCAGGTCTCAGACGTTTACCACTTCGGTGAAACCCATGAGCACGGGTATGGTGCTGACAAACCTAGAAACATAATCGGGGTGAATCGGGATTCGAACCCACAATCATAGGTTTCTGGCACGTCCGAAGGGACAAAACTCTGCACAGCGAATCGTGGCGCCTTAGACAACTGGGCCACCCGTGCCCCCTCCTCCATTGGAGGTGAAGGGGTAGCCACGTGGATAATGTGTATGTTCATCTTACCACATGGGTACAACGTAGGGGTGTTTGTCTTTATAGACATTGATAACCGCGAACTTAATATCAATCAATTATCGATAAATATCGGAGAAGGAACGTTTAGCAAAAATGCAAGAAAGTCTCGAAAGAAATCAACAGATTTCACACCATGGTGAGCAGTGACACATTTATACAAGGATTACTTAGTGGACATTTAGATATAACAAAAACAGTTGCTTTCTGTCTTCGACAATTGAGATTAATGACAATGACAAGTCTGTTTCAGTAGATGTAAACTTTATTTCATCACAATAGTTTATGTGAGTTATTATCGATGATAACAGTTTCATATCGATAATCAGAATATTTCTTCCCATTAAAGTAGACACAAGTTATGGATAACAACTTCTTCGTTTACTTTAAATGTGTGAAAACGGTATAAGGATATATACTGAAATGTCGCCTGTACAGTAAATAAAAAAGTTGTTATCCATAAATTGTGTCTACTTTGTCAACTTTTAAGTTATGCCTATGAAACAAATTTCTTCCCATGAACAATAATTCCGATTATCAAACTTTTCAGCCAGCCTAAGAACAAAGTGTAACCCATGTGTGTGCTGTCGATATACCGTATTCGACGTAATAAGCCCTTTGCAATTATAAGCGCCCATGGCGATATTTGCTATTGACAAGCAAACAATCTCAATTAGCACCCCTTCCAATTGATCAATGTACAGAAGACTTAAATTTATTTGTGTATAATACGCACTCGATCATGTGTTAAATGCACCCTTAATTATAGGCAATTAGATTCTGGAAAAATACAATTGTCGCATATAAACATTTCAGGCTGTCAGCATAAACCAGGAAATTAACGATCTATCAACTCTGGGATATTTTCACCAAAATAATATTCTAATAAGAGCCCCCTATTTCTAATTTTGAGAGCACCCTGGGCGCTTTTTATGTAGAATACGGTAATGCTTGAATATTGTTACAAATGGCATGATAGCATACCCTACATTCCATAAGGGTTGCTAGTGGTCCAGTGGTTAAAGCGTTCATTGATACTGGTGTCAACTCCTCACATGGCCCCAATGCTTGGAGTCCACCAGGGGTTGGAAAGAAACTCCAGAAACAAACAAGCACACATGGCCAGTGGGATGTTTACTAGTCCTCCAAAAATAAGAAGACTTTCAAATTTCAATCTTTAACGTGACATACATCGTTCATATATTGAGACCAAACACATTCATCAGGTGAATTTAAAAAATGAGAACAACATTTATTACAAGGACTTAAAAGGTTGTGACAGATATCTAGCACAGTGATGGGGAATGGAGAGGACCGTAGATCATTTACAGCATGTGTAATAAAACTTTACGACAAAGTATAGGTAATAATATAATAATAATACCATCATGATGTAATTTCTACAAGACTCAAGCCTACAGCGAGTGTTAATTTCTATAGCTGTGTCTGCTGGTGGAATATATCTAGAATATGGCTAACAGTGGCAGAAACCACACCCACTCACTATTCTTCATCCACAAAGGGGTGTGTCGTAAGAGGCGACCATGCTTGTTATAAGAGGCGACCAACGGGATCGGGTGGTCAGGCTTGCTGACATGGTTGATGCATGTCATCGTATCCCATTTGCCTAGATCGATGTTCATGGTGTCAGTTACTGGATTGTCTGGTCCAGACTTGTTTATTTACAGACCGCTGTCATATAGCTGGAATATTGCAGAGTGCGGCGTTAAACAAACAAACAAACAAACAAACAAACAAAAAGGGGCGTGAGTGTGACATGTCCAGTGACATATATGGAAGTCAGATATCATACCTTGCAACCTCCAGTGAAGCCTGACGAGAAGCCGGCGACATATCTCATGATGCAGGGTGTGAGGTAGGCATCGGCACATGCTGAGGAGAAACGTAGCAGGATATCAGCAACATGTATCTGTATCAGTCATCCTCGATACACCATGGGACATTTCATACTATTCACAGCAACATAGGGGCATTGGTGGCCAAGTTGTTTCAGGGGACGTAATTCGTTGCGCAGAGTTGCCTCCCTTGGGCACGTCAGAAACCTATGATTGTGGGTTCGACATAGTTCGTTGCGCAGAGTTGCCTCCCTTGAAACCTATGATTGTGGGTTCGAATCACAGTTTGCTCCGATTAGGCTAAAAATGTTCAAATTTTTTTGTGCATTGTGTTTAAGTATTAGGATTTTTACATTTTTTTAAAAATGAAAATAAAAACAAAACGTGCGGCAGACTTTATGATGATGCGGATGGTGCCTGAGAACCAAGACTATTATTTTTTTTAGCCTTATGTTTCTAGGTTTGTCAGCACCATACCCTTGATCGTGGGTTTCACCAAAGTGGTAAAGGTCTCAGACCTGCATCACTTCGGGCTTTCCTCCCACATTAAGCTGACAAGCCATGATATAACTGGAATATCGTTCAATTGGTGAAACCCAAATTACTCACTCACTCACAGATATATATTTGGGGAGTAACCAACAAACTACAAGGATATACTGATTATCTGTACCCAGTGAATAAACGGTCTGAGCCATGGTCTCATGTTGTTGCTTTGTGATATGGTAACGTCACATCATCGAAGCAACAGGTTCACTTTGACTTTCATACATATTTCTTTTTGTATAATGATAAACACGACTCCGAGGTTTTGGTTGACACAGTAAAACCTGAGGGACGCTGTCCCGAGTTCGCAAGACTTAGGGTGTTAGCGCAAAGTTTTATTAGCCAAGTCACTGCTGCCTGACGGTTTTACTACGGAGAGGAGAGTTTTTTCTGACTTATGAACTGTCGCAAAAACATTTATTTATATTTGTTTACTGTTGTGTATAAAAGTGTGGTAAGAGTCAAAAGAAATGCTTGAAAACTATATCTGGCCAGGAAATATACATGGTACCTTCTAATGAACCACCTTCAAACAGTTCTGATGTCTAGTAGTTAGAGTGCCTGAATACTGACCTAGAGGTTGTGGGTTAGATTCGCATCACCCCTAATCAAAAAGTTTCAATTCTTGTCTTCCATTTTACAACATTGGATGTCCAAACTACATCTGCTGCTCAATTCATTAGGAAAATATAAAACCTCACGCCGGGTCTTAAAACCAAACTCAAGTAAAACCTCCTGAGACTCGTTGAAGGTTATTACGAAGAAACAAGTAAACGTCCAAAACAATGGTGACTGTCTGTGATACGTTTATAATGATCAGGAATTGTGTATTGATGTTTGTTGTTTAACCCTGCACTCAGCAATAAGCTAGCTATATTCATATAGGAGCAATGCCTCACATCGTCGGAGTCAATGGTGATGTATTTTGTCACCTCTTTTTGCAAGCATAGGTAACTGGGGACATTTATAAACCTGGCTCCCTACAGGCCAGTAAATCTGTCATACTTTGTAGCTAACTATTATCGGAGTATTATTATGTGTAAGACATTTAGCTCACTATTCTCTGAGCAGTATAATGTACAACAACTTGTAGCTCACAATTCTGAGTAGTATAATGTATAACTCCTTGTAGCTCACTATTCTCTGAGTACTATAATCTACAACACTTTGTAGCTCACTATTGTCTGAGTATTCTCAACTACAATACTTTGTAGTTCACTATTCTCTGTGCGGCGTAAAACAACAAACCAAAACCAATATTTTCTGAGTATTCTAAACTACAATACTTTGTAGCTCACTATTCTCTGAGTATTCTAAATTAAAATTCTTCGTAGCTCACTATTCTCTGAGTATTCTAAACTACAATACTTTGTAGTTCACTATTCTCTGAGTAGTATAATGTACAACACCTTGTAGCTCACTATTCTCTGAGTATTCTAAACTATAATACTTTGTAGCACACTATTCTCTGAGTATTGTAAACTATAATACTTTGTAGCACACAATTCTCTGAGTATTGTAAACTATAACACTTTGTAGCACACTATTCTCTGAGTATTATAAACTACAATACTTTGTAGCTAACTATTCTCTGAGTATTGTAAACTATAATACTTTGTAGCTAACTATTCTCTGAGTATTCTAAACTATAATACTTTGTAGCACACTATTCTCTGAGTGTTATAAACTACAATAATTTGTAGCTCACTATTCTCTGAGTATTGTAAACTATAATACTTTGTAGCACATTATTCTCTGAGTATTGTAAACTATAATACTTTGTAGCACACTATTCTGAGTATTGTAAACTATAATACTTTGTAGCACACTATTCTCTGAGTATTGTAAACTATAACACTTTGTAGCTCACTATGCTCTGAGTATTGTAAACTATAATACTTTGTAGCTCAACATTCTTTCAGTATTACATTTTGTTCTGTCTGGGTGTAACAGGGAAAGTCAATATACCCACCAGTAAATCCACGGGGGACCATCCTCACCATCGGCATGACGTCCGAGGACAGAGACACGTGGGTGAAACCCATCTCCCTGGCCAGTTGCCCGACCTGCCTCTCATGGAGGTCACAGCTGAAGAATATATTCAACAGGTGTACAAACATGTGTCCCAAGATGCTGACTTGTTAGAAAAGTGTGTGAGTGAGTTTGGATTAAAGCTGCCGTATTTCAGACCAAAATAAACATTGCTAATCTGGGATTCATGCCAATGAATTTAATTTGTTCACTCACTCTTTTCGAAAAATACACTCTTGATAAGAAACACATTTTTTATTTCATGATCAGATTCAGCTGATGAGGTTAACAGAGGCAAGATTAATATATTCACTGACCCATCACCACCAACCCACCCACATACTCAGTCACCCACTCCAACTACTCACTCACTCATCAACTCACTCACTCACTCCAACCATTCACTTACTCACTCCAGCTAAACACTCACTCACTCAGCCACTCACTCCAACTACTCACTCACCCACTCACTCCAACTAGTCACTCACTCACTGCAACTACTCACTCACTCACTCCAACTACTCACTCACCCACTCACTCCAACTACTCACTCACTCACTCACTCAGTCCAATGACTCACTCACTCACTCCAACTCCTCACTTACTCATTCACTCCAACCACTCACTCACTCCAACCACTCACTCACTCCAACTACTCACTAACTCCAACTACTCACTTACTCACTCACTCCAACCACTCACTCACTCACTCACTCACTCCAACCACTCACTAACTCACTCACTCACTCCAACCACTCACTCACTCCAACTACTCACTCATTCACTCACTCACTCCAACTACTCACTTACTCACTCACTCAGACCACTCACTCACTCACTCACTCCAACCACTCACTCACTCCAACTACTCACTTACTCACTCACTCACTCCAACTACTCACTTACTCACTCACTCCAACCACTCACTCACTCACTCACTCCAACCACTCACTCACTCCAACTACTCACTCACTCACTCCAACTACTCACTTACTCACTCACTCCAACCACTCACTCACTCACTCACTCCAACCACCCACTCACTCCAACTACTCATTTACTCACTCACTCACTCCAACTACTCACTTACTCACTCACTCCAACCACTTACTCACTCACTCACTCCAACCACTCACTCACTCCAACTACTCATTTACTCACTCACTCACTCCAACTACTCACTTACTCACTCACTCCAACCACTTACTCACTCACTCACTCCAACTACTCATTTACTCACTCACTCCAACTACTCACTTACTCACTCACTCCAACCACTCACTCACTCACTCACTCCAACTACTCACTTACTCACTCACTCCAACCACTCACTTACTCCAACTACTCACTTACTCACTCACTCAGTCCAACCACTCACTCCAACCACTCACTCACTCCAACTACTCACTTACTCACTCACTCACTCCAACTACTCACTCACTCCAACTACTCACTTACTCCAAACACTCACTCACTCCAACCTCTCACTCACTCCAACTACTCACTTACTCACTCACTCACTCCAACTACTCACTTACTCACTCACTCACTCCAACTACTCACTTACTCACTCACTCCAACTACTCACTCACTCACTCACTCCAACCACTCACTCACTCCAACTACTCACTCACTCACTCACTCCAACCACTCACTCACTCCAACTACTCACTCACTCACTCACTCCAACCACTCACTCACTCCAACTACTCACTTACTCACTCACTCAGACCACTCACTCACTCACTCACTCCAACCACTCACTCACTCCAACTACTCACTTACTCACTCACTCACTCCAACTACTCACTTACTCACTCACTCCAACCACTCACTCACTCACTCACTCCAACCACTCACTCACTCCAACTACTCATTTACTCACTCACTCACTCCAACTACTCACTTACTCACTCACTCCAACCACTCACTCACTCACTCACTCCAACCACTCACTTACTCACTCACTCACTCCAACCACTCACTCACTCCAACTACTCACTCACTCACTCCAACTACTCACTTACTCACTCACTCCAACCACTCACTCACTCCAACCACTCACTCACTCCAACCACTCACTCACTCCAACTACTCACTCACTCCAACCACTCACTCACTCCAACTACTCACTTACTCACTCACTCCAACCACTCACTTACTCCAACTACTCACTTACTCACTCACTCAGTCCAACCACTCACTCACTCCAACTACTCACTCACTCAAACTACTCACTTACTCACTCACTCCAACCACTCACTCACTCACTCACTCCAACCACTCACTTACTCACTCACTCACTCCAACCACTCACTCACTCCAACTACTCACTCACTCACTCCAACTACTTACTTACTCACTCACTCCAACCACTCACTTACTCCAACTACTCACTTACTCACTCACTCAGTCCAACCACTCACTCACTCCAACTACTCACTCACTCACTCACTCCAACCACTCACTCACTCCAACTACTCACTTACTCACTCACTCCAACCACTCACTCACTCCAACTACTCACTTACTCACTCACTCACTCCAACCACTCACTCACTCCAACCACTCACTCACTCCAACTACTCACTTACTCACTCACTCCAACCACTCACTTACTCCAACTACTCACTTACTCACTCACTCCAACTACTCACTCACTCACTCCAACTACTCACTTACTCACTCACTCAGTCCAACCACTCACTTACTCCAACTACTCACTTACTCACTCACTCAGTCCAACCACTAACTCCAACCACTCACTCACTCCAACTACTCACTTACTCACTCACTCACTCCAACTACTCACTCACTCCAACTACTCACTTACTCACTCACTCCAACTACTCACTTACTCACTCACTCCAACTACTCACTCACTCACTCCAACCACTCACTCACTCCAACCACTCACTCACTCACTCCAACCACTCACTCACTCCAACTACTCATTTACTCACTCACTCACTCCAACTACTCACTTACTCACTCACTCCAACCACTCACTCACTCCAACCACTCACTTACTCACTCACTCACTCCAACCACTCACTCACTCCAACTACTCACTCACTCACTCCAACTACTCACTTACTCACTCACTCCAACCACTCACTTACTCCAACTACTCACTTACTCACTCACTCACTCCAACCACTCACTCACTCCAACCACTCACTCACTCCAACTACTCACTTACTCACTCACTCCAACCACTCACTCACTCACTCCAACTACTCACTTACTCACTCACTCAGTCCAACCACTCACTCACTCCAACTACTCACTTACTCACTCACTCACTCCAACCACTCACTCACTCCAACTACTCACTTACTCACTCACTCCAACCACTCACTCACTTACTCACTCACTCAATCCAACCACTCACTCCAACCACTCACTCACTTACTCACTCACTTACTCCAACTACTCACTTACTCACTCACTCACTCCAACCACTCACTCACTCCAACCACTCACTCACTCCAACTACTCACTTACTCACTCACTCCAACCACTCACTCACTCACTCATTCACTCACTTACTCACTCACTCACTCCAACCACTCACTCACTCCAACCACTCACTCACTCCAACTACTCACTTACTCACTCACTCCAACTACTCACTCACTCACTCCAACCACTCACTCACTTACTCACTCACTTACTCCAACTACTCACTTACTCACTCACTCACTCCAACCACTCACTCACTCCAACCACTCACTCACTCCAACTACTCACTTACTCACTCACTCCAACCACTCACTCACTCACTCATTCACTCACTTACTCACTCACTCACTCCAACCACTCACTCAGTCCAACCACTCACTCACTCCAACTACTCACTTACTCACTCACTCCAACTACTCACTCACTCACTCCAACTACTCACTTACTCACTCACTCAGTCCAACCACTCACTTACTCCAACTACTCACTTACTCACTCACTCCAACTACTCACTTACTCACTCACTCACTCCAACCACTCACTCACTCCAACTACTCACTTACTCACTCACTCACTCCAACTACTCACTCACTCCAACTACTCACTTACTCCAAACACTCACTCACTCCAACCTCTCACTCACTCCAACTACTCACTCACTCACTCACTCCAACCACTCACTCACTCCAACTACTCACTCACTCCAACTACTCACTTACTCACTCACTCACTCCAACTACTCACTTACTCACTTACTCCAACTACTCACTTACTCACTCACTCACTCCAACCACTCACTCACTCCAACTACTCACTTACTCACTCACTCACTCCAACTACTCACTCACTCCAACTACTCACTTACTCCAAACACTCACTCACTCCAACCTCTAACTCACTCCAACTACTCACTTACTCACTCACTCCAACCACTCACTCACTCCAACTACTCACTTACTCACTTACTCCAACTACTCACTTACTCACTCACTCAGTCCAACCACTCACTCCAACCACTCACTCACTCCAACTACTCACTTACTCACTCACTCACTCCAACTACTCACTCACTCCAACTACTCACTTACTCCAAACACTCACTCACTCCAACCTCTCACTCACTCCAACTACTCACTTACTCACTCACTCCAACTACTCACTTACTCACTCATTCACTCCAACTACTCACTCACTCACTCACTCCAACTACTCACTCACTCCAACTACTCACTTACTCACTCACTCCAACTACTCACTTACTCACTCACTCCAACTACTCACTCACTCCAACCACTCACTCACTCCAACTACTCACTTACTCACTCACTCCAACCACTCACTCACTCCAACTACTCACTTACTCACTCACTCCAACTACTCACTTACTCACTCACTCCAACTACTCACTCACTCCAACCACTCACTCACTCCAACCACTCACTCACTCCAACTACTCACTCACTCACTCACTCCAACCACTCACTCACTCCAACTACTCACTTACTCACTCACTCCAACCACTCACTCACTCCAACCACTCACTCACTCCAACTACTCACTTACTCACTCACTCAGTCCAACCACTCACTCACTCACTCACTCCAACCACTCACTTGCTCACTCACTCCAACCACTCACTCACTCCAACCACTCACTTGCTCACTCACTCCAACCACTCACTCACTCCAACCACTCACTCACTCACTCCAACTACTTACTCACTCCAACCACTCACTCACTCACTCCAACCACTCACTCACACAGTCCAACCACTCACTCACTCACTTACTCCAACCACTCACTCACTCACTCACTCCAACTACTCACTTACTCACTCCAACCACTCACTCACTCACTCACTCCAACCACTCACTTGCTCACTCACTCCAACCACTCACTCACTCCAACCACTCACTTGCTCACTCACTCCAACCACTCACTCACTCCAACTACTCACTCACTCACTCCAACTACTTACTCACTCACTCCAACCACTTACTCACTCCAACCACTCACTCACTCCAACCACTCACTCCAACTACTCACTTGCTCACTCACTCCAAGTACTCACTCACTCACTCCAACTACTCACTCACCCACTCACTCACTCCAACTACTCAACCACTCACTCACTCACTCACCCACCCACTCACTCCAACTACTCACGTGTAGGAGTGCATGAACACGACGGCGAGACTCTTGATGCCCTTGGTTAGCAGTTCCTGGAGATCAGCTTTAAGTTTACCCACATTCACCTCCTCCCAGATCTCCAGCTAAAGGAGGAATAGTGAAATTGTTATGTTGTTTTTTAGGATATGAAATCAAATCACAGTAGGGTACACATGTACACCTTCACACATGGTATACATGCTGGAAATTCAACTTGGGTCTTGGATGTGATGAGAAAAAGCTCTATCCACAAGGCAACTTCACCATCATATCAAATAAAAGACAAAAATACCATGGTTAATAATAACAATATTGAGCAACTTGACGTCAGCTCAGGAAAGATATCAGACACAATTCAGTTATTATTATTAAAACAGTCCCCTGACCTCCTCGCCTGTGGTCCCGGTGACCTTGTGATATGACCTGTCCAGTTGACACACGTCCTGCTGCAGGACCAGCCTCTCCTCCACCTCCACCACCTCCTCGTACAGCTTGTCTGGCATCACGATTTTCTGGAGACACACCGGACTCATCGTCACACACCAGACATATCATGACACTGGACACAGAGCTACAGAAAAGCTGCGTATATGCATAAAATACACCCAAAAACTATTCAAAACCCAATTACTTTCAATTAACTTGCATACAGAAACACCTGCATTAAATGGAAAACTCAATTTTTGAAAACGGCACGCGTAAATACCCAATGAGGCCTTTTTAGCATTTGTACAACATGTTACTTTTGTTAACTGCTGGTTAGATTATTTAGAGTAAAGAGTAACATGCTTCTCGACTGGATGCTGTTTAATCAACAATCATAAAAGGTAGGCAACTATGTGCACTCTAGATATAACTTTCACAACAGAACTAATTTCCGAAAAACACAATGAGATAATTTACTTTTCGAGTCAATTTAAATTTAGAACTGTTATATACATCTAAAACCAGAAAACATTATTTCATTTTTTTTAATCTCAAAATGCTTACTCATTTAGGGAAAAAAACCAAGAGTGAAAAAAATATTGGTTACCCAATGAAAAATGTAATAACCCAATTAAAATAGAAATTTTCGAGTAAAAAATCATTGCTCAAAAAGTTATCTGGAGCTCTGCGGACATATCGTTATCGAACATATTGTCATACTGGATGTACTCATCACACCAGATAAACTTTCTCAACATGGAGATATTTATTCCGTCTTCCAAAGTACAATAAAACAGGTTAACTCTAACATCATAGGTGTTAGACAATGCTTGAAAGGCGACTAGGCTCAGGGATAATTATAAGTCCATGCAAGTTCAATTTATGTTGCTATTTGTCTGCTCACTCTATTTTAATGATGTACATAAATTTTGCAGTTAAATCTTCAATTTTCTCAAATAAACCACTGACAATATTTAACAAGAGTTTGCCTGTAACGTGGCTATATCCCTCGTCCCTGTTGCAGAATTTATGACATAATTATATCTGAACAAACCCTAACCTTTTTGAACCGAGGTGGAACTTGTCAAGGAAATTGTAAAAAAAAGAAGAGTTTGGAACCTAAGTCCATCTTGTTGCCATGGAAACGTAAAAAATAAAAATTTCAAAAATGTCTAAATAGCAAAAGGCACCAGTTCAGCATGTACTTGACAGACCTGCAAAGTTTGATGAAAAAATATTGAACGGTTTCTGAGTTATGCTCCGGAAACGAAACGTGACGGACGGACGGAGCCTGTTTCTATATCCCCGCCAACTTTGTTGGGCGGGGGATAATAATTTACCAGATCAAATATGTGTGGCCGTGACTGGTTGCCGATATGGAGCAGATCCCTGAAGCCCTTGGTGATGACGAGTGCCATCCTCTCCCCCTTCCTCTCCAGCAGGGCGTTGGTCGCTACTGTTGTCCCCATCCGTATCCAGTCTATCAGAGACGTGTCTATTGGGTCGGCTGCAGGACATGGCTTTCCTGTATACTGGAATACATTCATAACTGTGTAAACGATATTGTCATACTTTAGGTAACAAAAATGGAATCTGAGGGCCTTGGTGAGCTAAAAAACACCTGAGGTGTAATTCAATATTTTGACGAAAATGTACCATATGCAGAGGTCCAGATAACTTTTTGAGCAATTGAGTTGATACTCCAGGGTTTCTATTTTAATTGGGTTATTACATTTTTCATTGGGTAACCAATATTATTTCGCATCAAAGGCTTGGATTTTGCCTAGAAGACTAGCGAACAGCCTGGTAGGAATCCCCGACTCTTGCAGCCAGCATGGAGCACAATAAGCCGCTCACCCCTGCCAAGTGGCAATTTCCTGGCACAGAAATCAGAAGAGGAGCTAGGGAACCATTGTGTTCCTGTGGTATGGGAAAATTTGAAGACGTTGCAAATAATTGACTACGCGTCGAGTGATGTTTTCATTGTTTCAGGTAAAGCAATCACGCATCTATGGTTTGCTCAGCAAGCCTTATGTCACTTTCGCACATGAAACTCACCCACCTGGCTGTTCTATGAGCGACTGGTCCTCCCTGGTATGGGATGGCGAAAAATGTCAACAATATGATGATCGTTTGTTAAACAATTTTTTTATTCGGGTGTCAAAAATTATGAGACAAACCATCAGAGTTGGTCTGTCCAATTCATGTCGCTGTGCAAATTTTGGATTTGTTGCAATTATTAGATTTTGAGTTAGTGAGCAATTCATCGGTCTCAGATGGAATCAAACGGACTGTAGGTATGTATAGATTTTCATAAAACACATAAAACAAACTAACATCATTTTTAATGATTGTTACATTTCATGAACATCTGTTTATTTTTACGCACAAATACCTCGTGATAGGTTCCTACCTGACAGCAGCTGTTGCAATATGAAACAACAACACTACCGTATTCGACGTAATACGCGCCCAGGGCGCTCTCAAAATTAGAAATAGGGGGCTCTTATTAGAATATTATTTTGGTGGAAAAAAAGAGAGTTGAAAGATAAATTTCGTGGTTTATGGTGACAGCCTGAAATGTTTATGTACGACAGATAAATTTTTCCAGAATTTAATTGCCCATAATTAAAGGTGCATATAACACACGAGTGTGCATATGCGCGAATAAAAAAGTCTTGTGTACATTGATCAATCGGAAGGGGTGCTAATTAGGATTGTTTACTAGCCAATATATCAGCAAATATCGCCGTGGGTGCTTATTAGAGCGGGGCGCTTATTACGTTGAATACGGAATTATAATGGCCATATTTTGACAAAATTACTGAAAGGCTATCATAACAGCATTTATAAGGCCAATTACATTGCTCATTGACATATTGATGTTTAACTTGTCTCTTTAATATGTCAAAGCTATAGCTGTGACAGCTTGTTTATTTGCAATATCAATTATTTTGTGTAATAAATGATAAAGTGAAGAGGAAAAGCAGAGATGTCTTTTCTGTTAGACTTGTTCATAGCATGTCATCGATCTCAACTGCGTAGATTGATGCTCATGATGTCAATCACTGGATTGGCTGGTCCAGACTTGATTATTTTACAGACCACCGTCATATAGATGGAATATTGCCAAGTGTGGCGTTAAACCACAAGCAAACAAACAAAAACATAGTTGTGTTCTTGCCAGTGTTCGTAGAGTTACAAAGCTGACAAAGGCTCAACTTATAATGAACTTTTCATGCTAAAAACACCATTTAACCTTAAATGGGCCCCATCAGATTCATACACGTATTTCAGCATTCGTCTTCCAACACAATCAATGATGTACATAAATGTGGACATTATGAAATGTCTTTCAATCTAGAGGGTCAATACATCTTATTGCTATAAATTTATTTGTTCACCAATTCAACTCAACACCCTTAATTTAAACATATGTGAACAGCACGACACATCCCCAAACGAGCCTCAATAAGTTTTGGACCATAGTCACCTCTTCTAGGATGCGCCTGATGCCTTCCCTTGGTGCGTCATCGTAATTGGCGGGGTCCTCCGACAGCAGCTTCAACACCCGAATCTCATTATTCGGGCATCGGGCCCAGACGTCAGTGAATGTGCCCCCACGATCAATGGCAAATTGGAACAGTGACGGCATTGATACTTCGTCAGCCATATTGTCAGGTACCAATAGGTACTTGAATAGTTACCTCCCCTTATTCAGATTCAGTGCAGGTGACAGAATCGTGTCAAGTATGGTGGCCGAGAGGGGACATCGCTTTCTCGCTTTCTCGCTCTATCGCTCTATCGCTCTATCGCTTTCTCGCTCTATCGCTTTCTCGCTCTATCGCTTTCTCGCTTTCTCGCTCTCTCGCTCTCTCGCTTTCTCGCTCTATCGCTTTATCGCTTTCTCGCTCTATCGCTTCCACTAATGACTAACCATAGACTAACCATAGTCATATAAAGGAATCGGTTGTTCTTTAACTTCTTTTGAATACTAGTATGTACTGTAAACCTTGAAATTATCATTGGAGTTAATTATAAATGCAAACAAATTAGCGTAGACTTAATTACCGCATTCGACGTAATAAGCGCCCAGGGCGCTCTCAAAATAAGAATATTATTTTGGTGAAAAGAAAGTTGAGTTGAAAGATTAAATGTTTATGTACGACAGATACTTTTTCCCGAATTTAATTGCCCATAATTAAGTGTGCATATAACGAGTGCTTATTATAAGCGAATAAATAAGTCTTGTGTACATTAATCAATCGGAAGGGGTGCTAATTGGGATTGTTCACTTACCAATATATTAGCAAACATTGCCGTGGGCGTTTATTAGAGCGGGGCGCTTATTACGTCGACTACGGTAATTATACTTTGCATTTATGTCTCAGAAATGACCGTTGATAAAACGGCCTCACTGAACACTTTGAATAGCGGAAATACCAACTTGAATATAAAACCAATCAACTATCTATTTCCACATTACGGTTACTGAGAACAATATGTCATCCAAAAACTAGAAATTACATAATGGACATCCGGTAGTATTACCATTGCTTGGGTGGGGACTTCCACTTTGATGACATCTACTCCGCAAACAGAATAAGCATTGATATAAGCGTTGTTTTTAGGAAAACATTATTGCTTTTTAGGAAGTACGTACTACTCAGCGCTATTGAGCGGTGTTATTTGCTATTTGTTTTGATAACTTGGCCCGGGGGCGGGGGATCGAATAGCTAAATAGGGCCATAAATCAATCAAATTCTTTTTACGCAGAAATACGTGGATTGTTATAAGAGCACATATGTCTGTACTGTTAAATTATATTTAAGTTGACAGTGAGATAATTTCAACATTCCGTCCATATAATTTGAAATGCGACTTGGAAAAATCTCAGCTCTCTTTTGTATGATTTAACACCCCCCCCCCCCCCCCCCCACACACACACACACACACACACTGAGGACAATGACACACACACACACACACACACACACACACACTGAGGACAATTCATGAATGTTGTTTTACGTATATACTTTTTATCGTATAGAAACACATAACGCATGCGACCCATATCGTGGCCAAGAGGGAATATTACTATACCACGAGAAAGCGATAGAGCGAGAAAGCGAGAAAGCGAGAAAGCGATAGAGCGAGAAAGCGATAAAGCGAGAAAGCGAGAAAGCGATAGAGCGAGAAAGCGATAAAGCGAGAAAGCGAGAAAGCGAGAAAGCGATGTTCTCTCTCGGCCACCATAGTCAAGCGTCAAATACATGCGTTGTAGTCGTCAAAGGCTCCGTGCACGAACTCACTTGATGAGATGTGTGTTTGTGAACATATATTTATGTAATGTATTGTTTGTATAAAATGATAATAACGAATGCGAAAAGTGTGTTCTGTTATACTTGAGAATGTGTTTACAATCAGAGACCATATTATAATATTATGTGGTCTCTGTTTATATATGTTTGTTTGATGTTTACGCCGCACTCAGCAATATGCCAGCTATATGATTGCGGTCTGTAAATAATTGAGTTTGAACCGGACGATCCATTGACGACATCATGAGCATCGATCCACTCATTTGGGATTTCGATGACATGCATCAACCAAGTCAGCGAGCCTGACCACCCGATCTAGTTAGTCGCCTCCTACGACAAGCATAGTCGCCTTTTACGGCAGGCATAAGTTGCTAAAGACCTATTCTACTCTGGATTTTCACGGGTCTACAATTGTATTTAATCGTTAGATGTTTCGATGTAATCATCAGATGTTTCGGGTACAGTGTTCATTACAAAACATTCATGTACATATGTTTATGAATTTATGTATGTATGTAAATGTATGAAACATGAGGGATATGATAAGGGATATATAGTGAATGTATGTTACACAAGCCATGCATGGCAATGTAATCTTCAGATGTGTTAGTTTATTTGTTGTTTAACGCCGCACACCAGCACTATTCCAGCTAAATGATTGCGGTCTGTAAATAATCGAGTCTGAAACGGACAATCAATTGATGAGCATCATAAGATGACATCATGAGCATCGATCCACTCATTTGGGATTTCGATGACATGCATCAAACAAGTCAACGAGCCAGAGCACCCTATCCCGTTAGTCGCCTCTTACGACAAGCATAATCGCCACTATATGGTAAGGTTCGCACAACATTCATGCGGTGGTAAGGTTCGTACAACATTCATGCACTGGTAGGTTCGCACAACATTCATGCGCTGGTAAGGTTCGCACAACATTCATGCACTGGTAAGGTTCGCACAACATTGATGCGCTGGTAAGGTTCGCACAACATTCATGCGCTGGTAAGGTTCACACAACATTCATGCGCTGGAAAGGTTCGCACAACAATCATGCACTGGTAGGTTCGCAAAAACATTCATGCATTGGTAAGGTTCGCACAACATTCATGCGCTGGTAAGGTTCGCACAACATTAATGCACTGGTAAGGTTCGCACAACATGCATGCGCTGGTAAGATTCGCACAACATTCATGCACTGGTAAGGTTCGCACAACATTCATGCACTGGCAACAACATTCATGCACTGGCAACAACATTCATGCGCTGGTAAGGTTCGCACAACATTCATGCACTGGCAACAACATTCAGGCACTGGTAAGGTTCGCACAACATTAATGCATTGGTAAGGTTCGCACAACATTCATGCGCTGGTAAGGTCCGCACAACATTCATGCACTGGTAAGGTTCGCACAACATTCATGCACTGGTAAGGTTCGCACAACATTCATGCACTGGCAACAACATTCATGCACTGGCAACAACATTCATGCACTGGCAACAACATTCATGCACTGGTAAGGTTCGCACAACATTCATGCACTGGCAACAACATTCATGCACTGGCAACAACATTCATGCGCTGGTAAGGTTCGCACAACATTGATGCGCTGGTAAGGTTCGCACAACATTCATGCGCTGGTAAGGTTCGCACAACATTCATGCACTGGTAAGGTTTGCACATCATTCATGCACTGGCAACAACATTCATGTGCTGGTAAGGTTCGCACAACATTAATGCACTGGTAAGGTTCGCACAACATTCATGCACTGGCAACAACATTCATGCACTGGTAAGGTTCGCACAACATTAATGCACTGGTAAGGTTCGCACAACATTCAAGCACTGGAAAGGTTCGCACAACATTCATGCGCTGGTAAGGTTCGCACATCATTCATGCACTGGCAACAACATTCATGCACTGGCAACACCATTCATGCACTGGTAAGGTTCGCACAACATTCATGCACTGGCAACAACATTCATGCACTGGCAACAACATTCATGCGCTGGTAAGGTTCGCACAACATTCATGCACTGGCAACAACATTCATGAACTGGTAAGGTTCGCACAACATTCATGCACTGGCAACAACCTTCAGGCACTGGTAAGGTTCGCACAACATTCATGCACTGGCAACAACATTCATGCACTGGTAAGGTTCGCACAACATTCATGCACTGGTAAGGTTCGCACAACATTCATGCACTGGCAACAACATTCATGCACTGGCAACAACATTCATGCGCTGGTAAGGTTCGCACAACATTCATGCACTGGCAACAACATTCATGAACTGGTAAGGTTCGCACAACATTCATGCACTGGCAACAACCTTCAGGCACTGGTAAGGTTCGCACAACATTCATGCACTGGCAACAACATTCATGCACTGGCAACAACATTCATGCGCTGGTAAGGTTCGCACAACATTGATGCGCTGGTAAGGTTCGCACAACATTCATGCGCTGGTAAGGTTCGCACAACATTCATGCACTGGTAAGGTTCGCACAACATTCATGCACTGGCAACAACATTCATGCACTGGCAACAACATTCATGCACTGGTAAGGTTCGCACAACATTCATGCACTGGCAACAACATTAATGTGCTGGTAAGGTTCGCACAACATTCATGCACTGGTAAGGTTCGCACAACATTCATGCACTGGTAAGGTTCGCACAACATTCATGCACTGGTAAGGTTCGCACATCATTCATGCACTGGCAACAACATTCATGCACTGGCAACAACATTCATGCACTGGTAAGGTTCGCACAACATTCATGCACTGGCAACAACATTCATGCACTGGTAAGGTTCGCACAACATTAATGCACTGGTAAGGTTCGCACAACATTCATGCGCTGGTAAGGTTCGCACATCATTCATGCACTTGCAACAACATTCATGCACTGGCAACAACATTCATGCACTGGCAACAACATTCATGCACTGGCAACAACATTCAGGCACTGGTAAGGTTCGCACAACATTCATGCACTGGCAACAACATTCATGCACTGGCAACAACATTCATGCGCTGGTAAGGTTCGCACAACATTCATGCACTGGCAACAACATTCATGCACTGGTAAGGTTCGCACAACATTCATGCACTGGCAACAACCTTCAGGCACTGGTAAGGTTCGCACAACATTCATGCACTGGCAACAGCATTCATGCACTGGCAACAACATTTATGCGCTGGTAAGGTTCGCACAACATTCATGCACTGGCAACAACATTCATGCACTGGCAACAACATTCAGGCACTGGTAAGGTTCGCACAACATTCATGCACTGGCAACAACATTCATGCACTGGCAACAACATTCATGCGCTGGTAAGGTT